GGTGCCTGCGCTCCCCTGCGCGGGGCTCTGGGCAGTCTCACTCCCCAGCGCTTCCCTTCCTTTGTTTAACCTATGACCTGTGAAAACAAGAGTTAATCAAAAGTTCTAAGGTAGCTAAGAGGAAGGGGAAGTGTTTGGTTACAAATTAAATATGAGCAAGTCATAAGTCATAAATCTTCAGTAGTGCTACCAGTTGTGCCGCTTAAGTTGCATGTGGTACAGAAGGTTTTTGGTTATAAATTCAACCTCCGTTCCTTTGGTGGGGGTGTTTAAGGGCTGCCCCGGGGATTTGCTTTTTGTAAGAAAAAAATCCACATTTTATCTTTTTTTCTTTTGGCAAAGATGTAGAAACAAATTCAGATAACTATATTTCTTTCCTTTTTTTTCTTTTTTTTTTTTTTTTTTTTAAATTTTAGCCTGTCACAACTTGGTCTGATAAAAGCAGAACTGTTTCGCTCTTGAGTAGTAAACGTGGAATAAGTGATGAAGTAGAAGTGTTGAAGATGGCAGGATGAATTAGTTTTCTACCATATCCCAAGCTTTCAGGATGAGAGAGATCCTGAATTCTTGAAATGAGATTGTCTAGCTAATTGGCGCGGTTCTGTGGCGGGTTGGGTTGGTTTGTTTTGTCTTGTCGTGCACCTCTGGTGAGCAGGAGCCGCGCGGATCCCTGTGCGCTGGGCGCTGCCCAGGTCTGCTGCAAACAGCACCGCCTTTCCGCAGCTCAGACCTGCGAAGCTCCTCTCCTCCAAGTGGAACGTTATTCCTAAAATAAGAAAAAGAAGGGGTTATGCTGAGATTCTAAACCGTTATTTGGAAAACATGGATTAAAATAAGGACATTTTTGTGTTTAACAACGGACAGCAACGAAGTTCATTATGAGGTACTGGTGAAGAGAAAAGGGAAAGCCGACCCGGAGCGGACGACGGCAACAGAGAGGGCTCTGCTCCCTTTGGTGGCGTGGGGAGTTTGCTCGTGTTAGGACTTGGTGTGAATATGAGACTTGTTCTGGGCTATTTTTATTAGACTCATGGAAGCTGTCTTCCAGATGCTGGGCAAGAGAATTACAGCTGGATTTGGATGGAGGGCTCTCATGGGTAGAACCTGCAGATTTGTCATGTTTGGTGTATTGCCGTGATAAAGGAGACTCCCTTGAATGTGTAGCGAGGGAAGGCTCGGCTGTGAACAAAGAGGCCCCCAACAGGACAGCTAGATACATCTGTGAGGAAAGAGCAGAGGCTGAGCTTGGCTTGGCAGCTCGGCGGGTGCTGCTGGGTGCCCGCGCCCCACGTTGCGGCGGGTGCTGGAACCTGCGCTGCCCCGCCGCAGGCGCTGGGCTGGGGATGAGGGGCAGCGGGACGGGGACTTGCTTTGGTTTCATGCTTTTGTACTGACACATACGTTATTGTTGAGGGATATTAGTTGTTTAGCGTAAGTAATATTTTAAAAGATTCTCACTTTAATTCTGTACACGTAGTTTTCCAGCAAGGTCCCTGAGCAGCGAAGTGGAGCTTTACATTCGCCTTCCGGAAACGAGTTTTGGGTTCCGGCTCTCGGGGAGATCTCTGCCTTCCTGGTTTTCCGGCTTTTCCAACTCTTTTGATAGATTCCTTGCAAGGATTTGTTTACCAGCTTCTTAATCTCTACTTAGCAGATAGGTTTTGAGAGGATTTCTTGTTACTCTTGTAATGGCTTTTAACTCTGCTGAAGTTTATTTAACTAAACAGAAAGAAAGAAACTTATCTTCTAACTAATCCTTCTTGATTGTTTACAACATAATGCCAAGCTTAAATGCTGTTTAAAGTGGTAATTGTCTGTCTTTTGCCTCTATTCTAATACACAGTTTGTAAAGATGCTTAGAACATATTAATTTAAATGATAATGCTGTCATATAACATGAAAAGTTAAGTTACTTATCAGTATATTTTGATAAGCTACTTACATTTTACAGTAGCATTTGCAGGCTTCAAACAAATGTTAATGATGGAGTGCCATTCGCTTTATCTGTCTCATATATAGCTTCTCACTTCATTTATTACCGAGAGCTGTACAGTTAGGAACCGTGGGGCACTCCATTCTTCACAGTTGTCAGGATGTAGTCATATTTTATAAAAGCTTTAAATCCTGTCTAACTGTATCAAAATAGAATCCATTTGCTTCAGAAAGCATCTGCGATTAAAAAAAGAATCCGTTTGTGCGTCACGCAAACTTGCTTTGCTATTCGCTGCAGCTGAGGGAAATTCCTCACCGGTATTGAAAAAGGAATTGAAATAAAGAGCTGTGTCATGAAAACGGGTACAGAATCGTACCAAAGCATACTGTGGTGAAAGGTAACATCTTAGATTGGATATCTTTAGATTGGATATTAGGAAACATTTTTTCACCAAAAGGGTTATTAGACATTGGAAGAGGCTGCCCAGGGAGGGGGTGGGTTCGCCATCCCTGGAGGTGTTTAAAAAAAGGGCAGATGTGCTGAGGGCCATGGTTCAGAGGTGGTTTTGTCAGGGTAGGTTGATGGTTGGACTTGATGATCTTAAAGGTCCCTTCCAACCTCAGCGATTCTAGGATTCTATGATCTTAGCCGTCTGTCTTATTTTATGGAATGGAAATGTAATGTAAATGACAAAGATGTGATTTTTCTGCATGTTTGTCCATTAAATTTGTTTCTTTATTACTTTTGTACGTTGAGTGCAAATTTCCTTATGGTAAAGTTCCTGTTTGACCTAACTGGGCTGAATACCATGATATAGGATGTGAAATAAGCAACCACAGTTAAAAACCGAGACACTGGTTATGCAATTTTGAAAATCCAGTTGTATCAGGATTCAAACCCACAACAGCCGTCTGTCTTCACTTTACCACGACCCCCAACTCTACGGAAGGCTACTTATTCAACATACGCTTTGGGAAATCATTACGATTAAAAATGTTCCACTGTACGTGAACATAGTGACATTCCGTTACATTTATCTTACAGGTTAAAAACTTCCATGGGGTGGTACGTGTGTTATGTCTGGACTCAGAAGGAGGGTGATCTCCCAGCACTGCCCAAACTGGCACCCCAGTTTGTTCCAGCTGGAGCCGCATTCGATGTTTCGTGCCCACGGGTGGCTGGGAATGCCGGGGGAGGGTAAATGCTGAGCTCAGTCCTCAAGGGAAAGGGATGCTTCAGCCTTCTGGTGGTCTTCTTCGAATGCAAGGTCCGCTGTGGCTTTCCCCACAGATATTTATACAGCGTCGAGTCCGGCGGAGGCTGTTGTTAGGATGCATCTGTACAGTAAAGGTCGGCAATCTTGGATTCATTAACTGAGATTTAGCAAGTTAAAGCTTTTTCTTTCTTTTTTTTTTTAGTTACCTCCCATGGTTTGAAGTCTTTTATAAGCTGCTCAATGTCTTGGCAGATTATTCGGCAAAAGGACAGGTATTATTCTAAAGTACTAACCTTTCTTTTCCCTGCCCAAATACCAAATGAGGGACAGAGGCTAAAAACGAACTGTTGTAAGAAGCGCTTATATCAGAGATGACCATGTGAATTATTAATCTGTGTGTTGCAATAATACATAAGATGATACTCAGCCAAGCTGAAAGTTTGGCAAGTGCTTTTGAAAACTAAATATGCTTTTGAATTATTCTTGGGAAAAGATAAAGTCCAAGATTGCGCCTGTTGATCCAGCACAGGTCAGTGGTTTCCCTGCAGCCACCCATACTGTGCAGACCGTTTGATTACCTGAACTGTGTTCGGCTCGTCCATGCAGTTCCCGTATTGCAGTGTTTCATGAGCCTTTGACAGATGTCTTATCCACGTTTACTTGTCACATAAAGTAAGTGTAGAACTAAGCTTCCTCCTGCAACGCTTACCCATGCAGCATCATCCGGCCTACGCCCTTCAGACACTGTTTTGCTTTTAAAGCAAAGCCAAGTAAGGTTCCATCTTGTGGTAGTGAAAAAATGTGAACTAAGCCATTAAAATTTGCTTCTAAGTTTATAAATGATAATTTATGACACAGAGAAATCGCATATATCACTGCAACACCCAGCTTAGTTTCAGGTATTTAAAATATTACAAGTGTAATCTTCCCAGTTAGGTTGCTGCTTTGATTTATTACCATTTTGTGGTAATAATCGTATTCTGTATTTGTCAGAATCAGTCACATTTGAGTAGAAGCACTTAGGATCGCACCTTCGTCTAGATGACTAAATACTTTTTTTTTCCCTCTCCTTCTTATTTCAGGATAGTCAAAGGAGTGAGCTCCTGGAAACACTACATAAACTTACCATCCCTGAGCCAGGAACCTCTGTTCATCTTGGAATGGTAAGTGAGTGCGAGAGATTCAAACTAAGGTGGTTAATTTTTGTTACATATCATAATAGAGGAATGTCAAAAGCAATTCTCCTTTTTTGGAACTTGGTACAGAGATGTTTTTCTGTGAGGACACAGAGCTGTGAAATTCCCCTTTTCCCATTTGGGGCCCTCTGTTTCCCTTTCCTTAACCTCAAATGTCTTTGAAACGCTGTTCTTTGATTGGAGGAAGATTCTGTATATTCCCCATGGAAACTTCTTACCGTATCAACTGTGACCGGCGAGAGGTCATGGAGCAGCAACATGACATTTATTGTCCGCGCTTCTGCAGAAAGATCTTACAGGTATGCAACGGGGACAAGACTGGAAAGCAAACAGTCGCATACCTGTCGTAGCAGCGTTTTGAGTACCATTTATCACATTTTCTGGTTCCTTCTCCTTCTCCTCTCCCCAAGGAAAAGGCTCGCACAAAAAGGTTTTATTTCATTTCTGTATCTTGTGAGAAAATGAATCAAAGAACAGTGAAAGAATAGATGTGGGATTTTACTGATGGGATTGTATTTTGAATTCAGTCTTCTGGGTTTTTTCTCTTCAAACTAATTTTTGCAGACCAACCTCGTGTTCCAGGCTGTAGTGAAAAAATACTCGCGATGCACATTGCTGCAGTTGCCAATTAGTCATTTAGAGTTCACATGAAAACTAGTGGTGTGTGCAGCCACGGTTCTCTTCACCCTCTCATTTCCTTTACTCCTCCTTCTGCGGTACTTTTTGGCACCAAGCAGCTTTCTCTCCTCGCTGCCCCTGTACCGGCAGTCGACAGGTAACAGTTGTTTGCCCTGGCTGGGTCGCCAGCTGGGGGTGGCAGCGGCCCGCTCCTCTCGAGGGCAGCTCTTTGATGAGCGGCGTTTCTGTTTGAGGGGACGAGCTGGCTCCAAAGGCAGTGATCAGTTGGGATAGTTCAGTTTTTTCATACCAGTGGTTTCAAGGAATGCTGCCGGTCTCCCCTTGTCTTGGACATTTCATGGGCAATGAAGCAAGAAAGGATGTAAAAAAAGCAGCCGAGGGACTGTTAGCTCTGCTGTCTTTATGCATTTTGTTTTGGCTGTTTACAAGCCTATTTTGGGGGTGGGGTGAGGTTCCTGTGTGTGATACAGTTGCATATACTATTCCTGTATCTTTGCATTGCATCTTTTCAACCAAACTGAAACAGTGATCTATCAAAAAGCAGAAATTTGTGTTTATACATTTAGTGTCTATATTCAGTGTGGCTGTTAAACCCGCTTGCTATTTCGGGTTATAGACTGTTCATGAAGCACTGGAATGTCTGAGATATATATACAAGAAAATTGTGCCAATTGTGGAACTACGCCAAGAATATAACAGCCTTTAAAGCTTCAGCAAGTAATTAATAAGTAGCCCTAAGACAAATTGTGGAAATCTTAAAAATAATATAAATTGTGTACACCATTGATTCACAAAAGCAGTTTAGTCGCATCCTCTTCTTTCCCAAAGCCCTAACCGAGAATCACACAAGTCATGCGTGGTCAGATTGGGAAGGAGAGTGAACCTGGTCTCTTGGAATGCAGACAGTTAAAAAATGTAGCGATATAATGGACGATGATATTGTGAGACCAATATAGGCTTTCAAAATGTGTTTTTTAAGGCATATCAGTGAGCAGGTAAGTAGGCATAAAACTTGAGGAAGCATTTCTCAGTAAATTTCCATAACTCCACCATGGCTTGAATGAAGCTTCCCGATGCTGGAGGTCGGGACGGGACCTGCTCGCTGCTGCTCCTGGAGCCGGTCAGGCAGCCTGCGGCGGGCGGAGGAGAGGTGCCTCCAGTTACAGATTGCCTCGGAGCTTCCTTGGCATATGTCGTACGTGGTGCGAGTCTGTCTGTATCAGCGTCTCTGAAGAACAAAAAACCATAATGTGCATTTTTCAGGAGCATTTGATACTTTCTATCGTAATGCATTTCATATTGCGTGTGTGATCGGAGAATGCAGCTGTTGAAATCCATGACAAAGAAGTCGTACTGGTAGTTGGTAACAAACGTTCTGTCGGTTTTACTTAGCTAAGCCACTGCTATTATTGCTGTTACTAATACCACGCAATAAATGTAGATTCCTTTTGACAATATTGCAATAATCAATATTTTGTCTTTTTTTTAGCACTCTTACTTTACCGTGCCTGACATCAGAGAGCTCCCTAGTATACCCGAAAATGTGAGTACTCTAGAGGACCCTGCACTTTACCGTTTCTGTTTGATGTCAGCAGCAAAATAGATAACAGTTGTTACCTCTGTTTGGCCTAGCAATAGATTATATTCTGTAAAATATTGGTAGCTGTTGAAGTGAACTATAGGTGGTTAATTTATAACAAGTATTGGGGGGAAACCATTGTGTTGCTAACTGCAGTAGTACCTGAGTAACGGGGCTTTTGGAGTGCAGCATAACAGTAGAATTTAAAGTCTGCCATTTTAATTAAGAAAAGATACCAAATGAACAGGAAGTTGACAGCGTAATTATAGATGTTTATTTAAAAAACATAAAGCTTTTATTATTATCACCAGTCTATTATTACATATGGTTAAGATTCCATGATCTCTTCATTCTAATAAGTGAAGAAATTTAAAATACAGAACTATATTTTTAGCCTACTCAAAATTGGGAAAGAACCGTGATTTGGTAACTGTATGTAACAGTATGGGGGCGTTTCAGGGAGCAACGATGGACTTAATTTATGTGAAAATTCACTCACTACAATAAGCCTATGAAAAATTCTTGAAAGTAGTCTCAAGGCAGTTTTGTGATTGCCATGTGAGTGAGTACGACAAGAGTCATCCTCTACCTAAACATGCAGGATTACATTAAAAAGGAATTTCATCCACTTGATCAAGACTTCAATTTATATCAAAAAAGACAAGAATCTGTTTAGGTATTTCACCTTTATAGCTAACTTGAATGAGGGTCTGTTTTCTTCTCATAAGTTCCAAAGACTGCTCTTTTAAAAGGAACTTGATAATTTCACAACTAAAGAAGCAATTATTTTTTTCTGGATCCAGATTGACGTTTCGTTCTCCCCTTGCTGACCTCACACTGTTTCCATAGTTTTGTTGGTTTTCTTGATGTGTGAGACTTTGAGTACAACATGAAACTGAAACTAAAAACTCAACTTGGGAAGGAACAGTTGGGACCTGCTGGAGAGAGAACGTACTGGTTGAAATGAATTTTATTTGGAAAAAAAAAAGGTTTCAAATAAGATGTGATGTTTTTATTTATTGAAGTGTTGTGGCTGCTTATTAGTCAAGCCAAGAGTATAATCTTGATACCCAATATCTTCAGTGGAAGAGGTCAATGTTTCAAATGTCCATATTGCTTGTATTTAAGAAAGATCAAATATCACTTGCCTTTTTCTTTAAGTATTAACTTGCCTTTTTCTTTAAGATGCTGTCAGGATTCACATATATATCCTTATTTGAAACATTTTGCATTGATTCAGATGAACATCTCTAGGCTCTTTGCTTTCAAGGTGTGTTATTAGCTGTGGTTGCTGAGGTGGTCATTCTTCTCTTTCTGATAACATCTTTCTTCTGTGTCGTATGTACACAATAGCATTCAAGAGTTGACAATCTGCATTTGTGATTAACAGCTGAAATGTATTAAGGATGAAGTCCTAAAGGAAGGTAGAAAAAAATAGATCTGCTAATTGTACAGTGAGACCCTTCTGAAAGAACGGGAGACCAGTAAAAGTGATGGGTGTGTTAGATGGCTTTCTGAAAATGTCACGCGTACCTGATTTCTTTAGGGCCGCTTTTGCAGAGACTTTAAGCCTCACAAAGTTGTCTTGTATGTGTTTCAGCGTGCCTTGCGTTTCTAGCCAAATGGTAGGGCTGGGAGAAGACAATGCTGGCATTTGTTTCTCTTAAATACTCTTTAATATGCTCCTGCTATGTCTCTCAGCCAAATTTCTATGCCTGACATCTCAGTTTTCTTTCTTGACCGTTTTGCGGTCTGTCTTAGCACCATATACCTCAATTTAAGTCATGAAAGAAAGAAAGAAAAGGGAATCATCCAGACATTTTGTCTTGTTTGTGGATGATTTGTATAGCAGATAACATTTGGGGCTTTGTGTTTCTGTTTGCAAACATGGTTGCTAGCTTTTCTGTGTATGTGTTTACTGACACCTATCCTGTCAGTAAATTCAATAGATGCACTTTTGCCTCTAAGGTGCCTTATTGTTGTAGAAATATGAGATGTTAGGAGTAATTCAAGAGTCAATTCCTGAATCCAGACCAGCTATCAAATCCTGTCCTAATCCAGACATGAAGTTACTTGTTTATAGGGTTTATATTTTATGTTAATCTCTTTTATGCTAATCATCTCAATCTGTAACAATTTGTGTTTGGTAAGCCTCAAATCAGCTGGAGAGCAAGGAAGTTAGTTTATTTCCATTTTGCAGGCTGGCAAATTGGAGGGCAGGGAGAAAAGAGCTAGTGATGGTACAAAACCAGTGGCAGGGTTTAAAAGTAGGTCGTGTGCCTTGGGCCTGCTCTAACTCACATGGAACAGCGTAGTAACACACTACCTGGTAAAGGCTTCGGGAAGTATAGCTGCACGTTTATGCTCTGTTGGTTAAGTCTGCTGGTGATGTTCGCTTTATATCGCAAGTCAGCTTCCCAAACCGTTTGGGCGGGAGACAGGAGACGTGATGAAGGCTCCTGAGTCAGAGGATGCTGTAAAAGCAGAGGCCTCGGCCAGAAGGAGCTGGAAACCCCGTGAAAGCTGAAGGCTCGTCCTTCGTGGAGAGCGCAGTGCGTGACGGGCAGAAGCGTCTTCTCTGAATCACAGAGTGGTGTTGATGTGCCTCCGAGGGGATGGGGCCGTTCCGATGGAGGTCTGCTGTGAAGGGTGGACTCTGCAGGGCCTGGGGTGAACCGGGGCTCCTCTGGCAATCCAAGGGGAAGAGCGCTTCATTCAATTAACAAATATATATGCCTATATATATACACACACACCCCCACCCAAATTTAAAAAGCTAGGGCTCATTGTAAGAAAGAAAAATAATAAAAATCAAATCCATTGGTCTAACTGTTGTTGCAGTTGACCGCCTTCTATTTCTCATGCGTTTAATTTGTTTCTTTTTTCCTAATAATTATTGTATAATTTCTTATGAGGATTTTCTCTGTCAATGCAACTTGCATGTAGAATTGAAGCATATTAGGGAGTAATACAAGGACATTAAATGAGCATAAATCTTCATGGATTTTAATCAATTGGCCTCATTTATTGAAAATTCTACATATCTTATCAGTAATTACATTTTAAAACCCGTATTAGGAAAAGTTTTAGTAGGGCCAACCTTTGAAGTTGCACATAATGATTAATGGAGAGCTGCACAGAACTCTATTTGGAATGTTAACAAACTTCTTGGAACTATCTGACTTTGTGTCAGATCAATACGTTTAATGAGTCACAAAAACATTTAGCATGGACACTTTTATGTAACAGCTAAGTATGCACTTTTGGAAAAGACTGAAGTTGTGTGAAAGACTTGTAAATGCATTGTGACTTCAGAAATAAATTGGGTTCATTGCAGGAAATACAGTGCAAGACTGTACGTTTCCTACTAGTACCTGTTGTGTTTCAGAAATACCGGGTGAGTTAGTGCTCTGCAAGGAGGACATTTTCTTGGCAATGATGTTCTGGTGTATTTTCGTATCACTGAGTCCTATATTTCAAACTGCCTGACTTTTCACTCATTGTAACGTACGTCTCTCGCTCCCTGTTCTTAAAATCCAACCCCCACCCCCTGATTTCTATATTTACACCATTTGATAAAGTGTATTGTCTGCACGATTTTGTTCTCCCAAACAGCAGCATGGGTTACACAAGAGCGTTAGCTGTACGCCGGGTTACCTACCCCATGTTAGGTTTTGTATGTGTGATATTTCAAAGAAAACAAACTTCTAAATAAGGTGAAGGATTTCTAATGGGAGGATGGAGAAGGAAACCTGACTCAATTCTATTGACCTGCTCTAACAGGAAATGTACTGAAGTCTGTAAATAAAGCTGTTCAAGAGCAAACCGTAATCTATATTGCTATGTTTGAGCTTTACTCTTTGCAGAGGAGAGAACTCATTCGTTTGTTCCTTCTCACTGAAGAAATACATGATTTTATTTTTTTTTTTTAATCTCAAAAGTCACTGTGCATGTGCATTTGCTCATATTAGGTAGCAAATGATCAAATAGATAATTGATCTAGGAATGAACTGTCAAAGGAGCATAGGGGAATTTCGTGGCACTCTTGCTGAGTTTTCAGAGGCGTGAGGATACCTGTTCTCATATTTTATTTTGAAAATCCCACTTTTTACTCTCACAAGAAAGGATTAAATCCCAGGAAACAAAATACACAACAATTATACTGCAAGTTGGAATGCTTTCATTTGTATTTATTTAACTCATTCATGGTTTTGTCACTTACGAGACATGTCTTTCAAAATACATGTGTAAGTCCCAATTTCATCTTCAAAGATGACAGCTTTCTTATAAATAAAACTTAGAGCTAACACGTGAATTTCCTTAGTATCAATACATTACCATACAGCCCACATGCTTCGCAGGTGTCATTGGCAAATTTCTGAGAGCAGACAAGACTAAAACCTTATAAATCTTTCCATCTGAAGGTACATTTGTGTCAAAGCCAATATTTCTCTACAATAAACTCAATGAAAGAGTAATTGTAAATCAAGTCCCAGTGTCTATTTTCCTCTCACTAGTGGATCCTGTTGCCTTATAAACACATCCATGCACACACATATCTACATACTCAGGCGGAACGTAGGGATTATGTGCTCCTTTCACCATGCCCCTAATTTGGATGGCATCGAAGGGAGTTCAGTGCTACTTAAAAATTCTTTTAATTTGCACTATTTGCAGTAATTGTGTCGTCATGCGCTGTGTTTTGGCGTCGTGGAAAGATGGGTGAGAGGGGGAAGAAGAGTCGTAGAGAAGACAGCTTATGTTTAGACAAAAATATCATGCTAATCAGCACAGATGGGATGAGAAATACAGAAAAAGTACACGATAGTTTAATAGGTTTTTGGCAAAATGTGTCGGCTTTTTTTTTTTTCTTCTTTGTATATACCTGTCTGTGGCCATAGCTTTTCCGTAACAAAGACCTGAATGATTGTCTTACATTAACGTGTTTGAAGCTAACCATAATGAGCTTAGGTTTTATCTATCTATGTAGTGGTACAAAAGTCTTCCAAAGACAATGCTTAATTTTTCTTTAGCTCTTTGTGTTTGGATGGCAAGCTGTGGAACATATTTTTGCACAGTATGAAGCATCTTGGCAGACTTTTCAGGCCAAGTATTGGTGGTTTTAGAGTTATCTTTGGATCTGTCAAAAGTGCTAATAGGCTTTGTTGAGCTTCTTTAAGTTTCTAAATCGTATTTGCTTTTTGCTTTTCTGCACTTTTTTATTTGACGATGATTAAGATTGCACTTGAATTCATGACTAATCTGGTTTTGCTCTCACATGTGCTTTTTGTATAAGACTGCCTTTATCATACAGCAACCCTTTCGTATCCGTAAGAAGCTAATTGGATACGAATTCCCTAATTCAGCATTTTTGGGTGTATTACCTTTCCCTCCACCCCCACCCCCTTTTTTTTTTATTTCTGTGTTTTAAGGAGTGAGAATATCCTCTACAAACAAAAGTCCTTTTTGGTTTGCCTTGCAGTGTGAAAACCCCGTATAACACCATGCGTTTTGATCAAGTTACCTACATGGTGACTTTCCAGTTTTGGGAGTCAAGATCTTAGGATCACATTCTGCTGTTCATTAGAAGACATCTTAATGATGTAGTAAATGAGGCGGGATGCGTGCCCCCGCCGCATGTGCAGAGGGCAGTTACGTTGCTGTCGAGGAACGGGTAATGTGCAGGCTGACGGGATGCAGTGGCCGTAGCCTCTTGTGCAACTTGCTCTGTTTTCTCTTTTGAATTTCAGTTATTTACAGTAATTTTTACATAAGTACTTTTTAATATTCTGAGCAACAAAAGCATGGAAGAAGGCCGTGTTGCCTAGGAAGCGTGTATGGAAAGTTTCGGCGGTGTTCTTGCTTGTGTCTTGGTCTTTCTATCTGTACTTTAAAGGCAGGTTGCAGAAGTGCTTTGCTTACAATATTCTTCCGCTGCAGTTAATTTTCTTTGTACTATGTAAACGTATCAATCACTCAGGTACAACTGGGTGTTTGAATGCTGCCTCTCCATCAGACACGGGCATCCATGAAAATTTTCAGAGCGAGAGAATCGTCTGTCTCCTTCCTCAGTTTCCCCATCCCCCCGGGAAGCGCTTTCTGCCCTCCCGCGCGGGGCAGCCCGTGTCTGCGTGCGCGCAGCGAGGGGTCAGGCAGCCTGCGTGCTCTCAGACTGCTTCTAGCTTGTCTGTGAAATCCCCACGTCTGTTTCTGATGGTCAGAATTGTTCCAGCGTAGACTGAGTTTACACTTGAATTTGTCATATTAGAATTGTCCTCTGCGAGAGCTGGTTTTGTTCTTGGGCTGTGAGATTCTTTTGGTACTTAATCAGGCAGATTGGAAGTTTCCATAAAAGTGACAGAATGTATTTTTTCTCAGAGAAGTGTCTTGTATTTAAGAAACTGTGGATGAAACGTCATTTCATTATTCTAAGATGTAGCTCCCCAAACGTGAGGGGAAAGATACTGCGACTAGAAAGTACTCAAACATAAGATGACATACTGCTTTCTTTTTTTAAGCCACGTACTGGATGTAGCGTAATAGGAGGATGAAACCTGTTGGTTTTTTTCTTTGTTAAGGACACTTTTTTTTTGTAATATCATGAATCAAAAATTATTTTCTTTCTTCCCAGAGAAATCTGACCGAGTATTTTGTAGCAGTTGATGTCAACAACATGCTGCACCTCTATGCCAGTATGCTGTATGAACGCCGCATCCTCATTTGTTGTAGTAAGCTGAGCACTGTAAGTAAAATGCAGAATATTTTTTTTCTATTCACAGTACTTTTTTTAAAATGACAGTTGTATATAAGAAAAGATCTGATGGTCTCCAGGTCCCCCTTCCAACCTCAGCTGTGCCACCTCATCTCAATTCTGTGGTTCTGTGTGGTGATTTTACTGAACTTATGTTGGGCTCTAATGTTCAAATGAAAAAGGGGGTTTTGGGTACCAGAAGTCTTGGGGTTGTTTGGGCCATAAATGTACAAACATTTATGCCATAGTGAAGTCCCTTTTACATAATTTAGTCAACAGGAAAAAACATAGATGAATGATACTGTCAAATGGATGTTCCAGTGACCTTTTCTGGATGGACTGAAGGAGTGGGCTAAAATACATCGACAATCCACATTTTTGCAGTTTTGTTTGATAAGGTGTAGTCTTAATGCATCTTAGGCTCCATCAAGGGTCTGAGAGATGAAAGCTACTGAGTGCTCTAGAGTACTCTCTTCTAAGAATGGCTGGACATCAAAACAAGCACACAGCTTGATTTAGTTCAAAGTTTTGTGTTATGCATTTTAAGGTTTATCAGTCAATAAGATTGTGATTTTCTTTATAAAAGAAAATGTTAAGTTTTCGTTCTGTTTGCTCTGTAAATGGGTATTGATTGCTCTCCTTTATGAATGATGAGCGTAAGACGGTTTAACTAATGTTGCTTTCTAGTGCTATGGAGTAAGTACTTGAGTGGTCCTTTCTAAAATACGAGCTTCCATTTCCATTTCGTATGGTCTTAACTAGTCTCTTGCTGCATGACCATGACCTACTTTGTGTTTGAGATTCATGGAATTGTAAATACTGTGGAAGGCTGAAATTATATACATAAAATCACATGAGACTGGTCTGTCGATACAGGGCAGAAAAATGAAAGAGAGTAAGACTTCATACTTAATCTCAGCATAACTATTACAGTAGTGTTTTGGAAGGTAAGTGAAGTGAGGAAAGTTAGAATAATCTCTGGGACTAATAATCTCTGGTATTAATTATTAAATGCTTACAATCAGTCCCACATTTAACCAAGAGAATTTAAGTATTATAAAGTTTAATATCACAGAAAACTTGTAAAATCTTAACTTTTATATCTGCCAAGTGTTCTGTGTCCTCCCTACTAAAATAAGGAAAAATCCACCCAGGCCTGGTGATTGAATAAACTGAAAAAAAAGAGGTGTTTATTTCAGAAACCTAAAGAATGAAAAGGATAGTAAATTATCAGAGAGGAGGGAAGAAGAGAACGGCTATCCAAAGCATTTCACAATTTGTGTGGCTGGTTGGTTTAATCTCTCCCTTTGTGACAGAGCCTGGGAAGAAGAATTACTTACCTGTCACTTTGCCTTCCTTAATGAGCCGTTTCACAAGTAGGGTTGTGTTTTCTTTCCTATCTTTCTGCTATTTCTCTTCCTTTTGCCTCTGTCCAAGATAAAAGCATGTCTGGTTCTTCGGTAGGGAGGGGTATTCATACTGTGTGTTCTTATCTTACAACTTTATATATAAACTGCTCCAAGATTGGAGTGACAGTGTAAGACAGGTTTGAAGTGTTGGGCCAGAGCCAGCGATTCCTGCCTGCACGCTCTGCGCTGCGTGTTCCAGCAGTAGGAACAAGCTGCATTATTTTATTTCAAACTGTGCTCAGCGGAAGCCAAGACCTTGTAACTGGAAACGTACCAAACTGCGAATTCTCAAAGTAAAGTGCGGGTGGTGTGGTGGTGAGGGAGATTGGTTTCTTTGTTTTTATTTTTCAGTTTTTTGACAAAAAAGTGAAAGGGACCTATTTGCGCTTGTTTGGTTTGGTTTTTTTTTAACTTTGAGAGACATGGCACACTCCATACTTAAGGCTGGAATTTAATATCAGGTAAGAGAGAAAATTAAACAGTCCTGGATAGAAAGTATTTTACGGTGGAATGAATTTGTGCTATAGTACATCATATCAAATTCAAATTTTGATTTGAAATATCCTTAATATAGTTAAGTTGGATAAGGTTTGGGGGTAACTGAATGAGGCTGTTTATTAGCTATTTTATAAGCCACGTGTATGGAACCTGTGGAAGAATTATTGCTGTTTTCTTGGATTTTTTCTTTTTTTCCTACAAAAGGAAACTCAGACAATTTTTCAGAATGTTAAAGCAATTATTTGTGTTAAATTTCTTTACATATTCTGTGACCTAACTACTCATGAAAAGCCAGATATGAACCAAAATGCGTGAAACCCCCGTGCTTGGCAAATGACCCCCTGCTGGTGGGAGCATGCGGCTGCAAAAATGGAACAGAAGAGCTTTCCTTGCATCCGGTGTTCTCTCTTCCATCCCGACCTGCTCGCGCAGCCCTGCCTCAGCACGGCGTGGTGACCGGTTGCGGCAGGGGCAGCAGCAGGTTGTCTCTCACTGTAGAGGGTGGCTTACACGAAGCCAGGCGACTCTTAAAGGACTTAAATTTGTGAATTTCTGTGATGTTTGTTTGGCTCCATCATACCGAAGTGAATTTCTTTACCTAATTTTACTGTTATTTTTTGAGTGTTAATACAAATCAAGAAGATACCATTCTGATATTGGTGCTCTTTTGTTCCTGGGAGTTGAGAGCTCGCCGTGTCACTTCTTCCGTGTCACGGGCAGCTCTGATGCACAGCCTCTTATTCCCTGGCTGCTTCCTGAAGTGGAAAGACAAAGTATGATTCATACTGTTCCCCAAGCGTCCTTGTGATGCAACATAGCTGAGAGCTTGCACGGTTCTACAGCAGTCTTACAACTCCTGGTTCGAGTGTACACGCTCTGCCTTCCCAGGGGCGCCAGTGCTGTCCCCGTCACCCGCCAGGGTGGGTTGACACCTCCAGACGGCCTTTGCAACCGCCCCGCTCTCGCTGCCTAATTCTTGTGTAGCTCAGGCTTAAGGTTTCTGCTTTGTTTTTAGCCCTGAGTCATGCAGAAAATTGATTTTACAAACATGCAAAAGTGCTCGTTTTTCCCTGTATATATCACAGATTTGTATTGCACATTTGTAGCCGTGTACTGCATCTGTGAAACCGCCGTGTGTCTGCACCAGGAGAGAGAGTGAAACGCGCTGGAAAATGGCCTTGTATAGTTCAGCATCAGTTTAGAACTTTTACATGTGTGACAAAATCCCATTGATTTAATTTCCTCAAATGAGGCTTTGCAGAGTATTAAATACAAAACTGCGAAAACTGAAGTAGTGAGTCGGCGTCTGTCTTACACGGCTGTCTGTGTGCGCGCTCTCGCCACGGCTGCAGGCAGCTGAGGTGGTGGAACTAATCTGATTTCAAAATGCTGGATTCCTATAGTTTTGACAGTTGGGCATTTCTCAGGTTGCCTTATTATTAAGTGCTTGTTTTCTGTATGGCAATCACTAATCAGGTGAGGGCTCCAGCAAATATGCTATTTCTTTTTTATGAGCCCTTATCTTGGCAGAGTTGAAGGACAGTGCTGGTGCTCACCCATGGTAGTGCGTTATTTGAATTCATGCCAGATAGCAAGGTGGGAGTACATCTCAAAAATAAGTGACAGGTTCTGCTCAGATGTCTGCAGTGTTGAGCATTATGTCTGTTTAATCTTTTCTTGCTGAGTTTTAAAACCAATGGGAGGGGGGCTTGGACGGGGCCGCCTTGCATTACTGAGTTCGCTCCTCTACAGCGGCAGCCATGTGTTAGAATAATGCTGGGAAATAATCCATTTGATCCTCATAGAAGCAATTTTTTAAGTAAGAATTAAATTTTTAAACATTATTTTTTCCAGACTTCTTTTTGATTTGGAGAACAGAAGCAGAAAACATAAAGGATTTTGGACCATAGAGGAAAAACTGCAGTGGGAAAGCATGCCCTTTTTTCTGCTGCTTATTTTGGAACTAGGCTGTGCCTTTCTTCTAATCTGTGAGAGAGGAGCATCTTCTCCAGTAGGAATAATATAAAGATAACTTGAAATATAATAGGATAGGGATAAATCTGTAGTGTTTCATGAGTCGTGAATATAAAATAAATTCAAGATTTTGGAGCTTCTAACTTTCGCTTTAATTAGTGTCCCAACATACTAATATTTCCATCCCATATGGATCATAAAATAATGTTCACCTGCTAATAAAGAGCTTTCTTATTGAGAAAGACTGAACAGATTCCTTGTTCAGATACTTGCTGTACCCCGTCTGCTTCCAAAGACGCTATTTCCTTAGGACGGTGGTTCAAATGTAGCTTAAATTCTTGCATATTCTCACTGATGAACCCCGTTGGCAGCACTGGGATGCTTCTGAGCTTTGTGGACCCTCTTGTTATGACACGTGCCAAACGGAGCTTTGCTGAGGGGAGGAGTGACTGCGTAGCTTCCGTGGGAGACAGGACGGAAAAATCTAAGGGATATTAAAAGAGGGTCAGACAAGAATCTGCCTCCGGATGTTATCGGTGTTTCTTGAGAGAGTTTGGTGACGTTGTGGAGCCAATGAAGTGGGTGTTAAGATGAATAGAGATGAAACAGTACTATTTGTGCAGATAATTGTCACTAATTCAAGAAACTTTTTGGCCAAATTATCTGTGGTTCAGTATGGTAGAGAATTGGTAAAGAGCTGGGTGTAACAGACGGGACAGAAAGCAGGGTGCAGGGAGGGTTTGTTTGCAGTCCTGGGACGTGGGACGGCTGTGCAGCCCCCAGCAGCTTCTGCGTAGAGAAGCTTCACTGCTGCACACCGCGATGCGGCTGCCGAGGTCTGAAGATAGTAAGATCAAAGTAGATTCTGGAAAAGAAACACAAGAAGAGAGATGAATCTGAAGAATAAGATCTGATTTCAGAAATTTATATTTGGAGTTGAAAGTTGGGTGTGATAACATTCTCCCTTGAAGGAACTGCAGTTCTTGGAGCTACATGGAAATACTTGGAACCTGTCACAATGAGGAGAAGAACTAGTGAATGCGGAAACAAAGGCTCTTGGGGAAGAATAAATATGACCTTTGCAAAAGAAATCCATGCCTCGAATCTCAAAAACCTTTAAAGATATAGCTAAGATTGAATTGTTGAATTCTTCAAAGCTATTAAAGAAATTGTTGTGGCATAGGAGAGTTTGAGCCTCTTGAGGGTAAACAACTGGCTAAAAGGGTGAGAAAAATCACCAGTTTTCCTAATCTTGGAAGTTGCTAAGCAGTCCAACAGTGCTCTATTCTGGAACGTGCTCGATATCTTAATGAAAAACAGTTTTAAAAAAAGGGAGACAATGTTGTAGCAGTCGTTTTGTTGCATGGCATGGATAAATATAAAATAATGCTTATGGGAGAAAACACTTCTAACCATGTAAGCAATCATGGTCTGAATAACTGAAGTAATTATTACCACTCAAAAAGAGATAATGGAATTTTTTTAAAAATAGAGAGATGGATCTATGAAAATGCCAGCTTATTACTCAGTTGAAGACTTAGAAGCCAAGAAGTTATTATGAAGGGAGTAGAGAACGAAAAAGAAGGGATAATGCCACTAGATATGTTCACGGCTTGCCCACCGTGGGAATATTGCATGAGTTCTTATCGACTCCAGATAAAAAATGATAAAGTAAAACAGTGAAAAGTACAGAGAAGGGTAAGAAGAACAAGCAAATAGACAAAATAATCTCTGTTAGGGAAAGCAGATCAGAGCTCTTCACCCAGCCTGGTAAAGATACTGTGGAGGTAGGGAACTTGATAGAGATACAGAAGGTCATGTGTGGCCCTTAGACAATGGGTAGGAGATTATTTTTTTATTTAGTGTCTCAAAATGCTAAAGACTCCGAGCACACACTAAAGCCGAGAGGGAACAGGCTCAAAATGAAGAGGTGGGGCAGTACTTTCCAAAGTATTTATGTGAATTCACTGGCGCATGAAGTGCAGCTGCAAGCTGGTGGGGACTGAGAAAATGGGAAATACCAATTTTATTGGTGAATGTGTTGATCAGCGGTTTTAGTAATTAGTGTTGAGCCCAGTTGGACAGATTACTGGGAGACGAGGGATTTTTGATCAGGCTTAGCAGGCCGTTCTTTTTCTTAGGTTTTCCTTGATTAGGTGATAGGGATAATTGGAACTCAAAAGCATTATTAAACAGACAGATTATTCGTATATTTTAGCCACAATAACAGTATCTCTCAACTAGGTACAAGCTGTAGCTTCAAAATCTGGCTTTGCTTGGTTTCATCTCACACAACTTCAGGCCACCACGCGGACCTCAGTCCTTAAGAATTTCTCTTTTCAGTATTTGGAAGCAGTGTTCTCCCTCCTTCCTATTGTCCAGACAAGCATTGTACCCTCGATTTCGTTGTACCTTCAAATAACGGGCAGGCTTTTGTTGAGTATTGTTTTCAAAATGTGTCTCACAAGTGAAGCACATGGTAGTTCTTGTGCTGGGTATGGTTTGAGATTAAATGACACTCTAAACTGCAAAACGCTGTCAGCGTGGCTGTGATTGTCTCTCACCTCTTAGTCTTTTCCTTGAACGTGTCTATTTGTATGACTGTTCTGATTTATTTATTTATTTATTTTCTATTTTCCCAAGTACGTGTGTGTTCATATCTGCTTCTTACAGTATTTTGACTATAGCTTTTGCTCAGATGTCCTTATTGAGGATTACCACCTTCTCCATTTTAATATCCTTAGTGAATGTGACAAATATCCTGCTTATCTTCTTTTCCAAATTATTAATTATCGTTTGAAATAGGATTGAGAGACGTAATTTCCTCCAAAGCTCTGTGCGGGTTTGGCCCGTGGTTTGACTGCCACCTGTGTTTGCTGGTGGTGATCTCTTCCATTCAGTACTTGCCAACATCAAAACCATTCCGAATGAGTTTTTAAAAATATAACTGAGAAATCCAGTGGATCAAATGATTTGGTGAAGGGCAATTAGATAAAAATCCCTTTTAAATAACAAAAATTTAGTCACTGAGTTTGAAGAGGTATGCCACTCACATTGTATCTTCCTGAGCTCAAATATTTTTTCAGTTCATGTTATAATTTCAATGTAGTTTTATGGTATTTAATGGATGGTAATTACCAGGATTGGGAGATTTGCCTTTACTATTTTTTAGTTCACTTTGTGTTTTCATTTCCATGTTTCTGTTGCTTTATAGAACACTGGGTGTTCTTTTCAGGATTTGTTTGTTAAATGAATCATGTTCTCAGCTGTTTACAAAGTCAGTGGAATGACAACCACCGTAAACCAGTCATGCTTCACCCACCAATGCCCTTTTTCTTAACAAGAGCACCGTATATTTTGTAATAAAGCATGTTGATATGAAAGCAGAATTGATTCTTTACTTTTTTTTCTTCTAACTTTACCTTTTTAAGCTTGCTTTTTGTCTTATTTATGATCCCGTTTTAATATGTGTTTTTCAGTTAACTGCCTGCATTCATGGGTCTGCAGCTATGCTCTACCCGATGTTCTGGCAGCATGTTTACATTCCTGTTCTGCCCCCACATCTATTGGACTACTGTTGGTAAGGCTATATATATGTGTGTGTGTGTGTGTGTATTATCTATATGTAGATATATCACTTAGATTCACAACGGTTTTCGCATTTCTCTATAGTAAGTCTTAAGTCCTCTTATGATGCAACTGTTACTTTAAAAATATATAGACATATTAAGGAAACATCCAACCTGGGAAGTAAAAAAAAAATTATTTTCATGGTGAGATATAATTGTCTATCGGTACCTTGAAATACTCTAATGTGAGTGGTTACTATGGAATGCTGAAACTTAGATGTTGTGTAATTAAAATCTGTTTTCAGCGTATCTGTGTTAAATGTTACAATCCGAGTTAAGACTCCAAGGGCAGAGGATACAGTGGAGAAGATACTCTCATTTTTCTGCTTTCCTGAACTTCTGTTGGGGGTGGAGGGAAAGCTACTTGTTTTCCTGTGGTGATCTTTTATTATCAGTGTGTGTTTAGAATATGGTATTTACCTTATTTTGAGGAATGAATACAGACCTTTCAAAAACTTATTCATGATCACGATGTGACAAATTTTGGCAACATCATGTAATGTCAAAGCTGGCCCTGTTTTGACCGGGAGCTTGGACCGGTTGCCTTCCGAAGGGTCATTCCAACCCATTCTGTGCTTCCACCCTGCCCAGCTGGCCGAAGCAGCCTCCTTGCTCGCTGCTGGGCTCCGCAGGCTCCCGTGCCGCTGGGCGCCTGTCTTGGACTCCAGTTCCCAGCTCAGAAGCCTCTCTGCAGTGCCCCTCCTACCGTCTCGCAGTTTCTACTTTGGTTTCTAGTGCAAAGTCACACAATTCAGCCTCATCAGCCGTAACATCATCTCCCCTGTTTGCCATGCACAGGAACGGCGGATGAGTGCTCTGAGTAGTTAACGAAGAGGAAGTTTAAGATGCTGCTGATTTTAGTTGCTCGGCCCTTAGTCACTGCTTCCCACGCTGCGTTTGTGTGACGTGCTCTTGGCTTTTTCTTCCCTCTGTGTACGTAGCAGGGAGGTGAAGTTTGCTCAGAGAGAGCGGCCTCACCTTAGGCTTCCTAGGGAAGTTGAACGTTCCAGCCCTCTTAGAGAGCCAATGGAACTGTCGCCCGGGCACGCAGGGATGGAATTAGTATGGCCAAAGCTTGGCTGGAGTTAAACTGAGGGATGTGGAGGGTAACGAGAGGCTTCTACGGGCTTGGAAGGAAAAGGGAAGCCCGAGGGAAATGTGGACCTGCTGCTGTGTGGTCATGTAGTCAAGTGCTGAAGGACACGGAAAGGGCTGAGGGACTCCCTGCCTTTGTCTTTACTGGCCGGCTCTGCCCGCTGGCCTTGGTGGCTGCCCCTCGCGCCCCTCGGGAGTGTGGCGCTTAATGCTCATGGGCGATGATTTGGAAAGGTGGGAAGAGCCTCCCTCTGCCCCCGAGCATTTTAAACAGTCCTTTTCAGTAAAAAAGTTAAACTCACTGTGTCATCTGATACCGCATTTGAAGTGGGGCTCTTAGCGTGGAGGTTGGCTGGCTTTCTTACGAATGGCAGTGTTCAGCGTGAGGTTTCCTCTGCACTTAAGCGAGAGTGAGGGACCGGCAGGGATAAGTAGCATTTTTAAGTGAAGTGCTAGGAGCTGAAACATGTAGATTTAAAGGAAGCTTGTTCCTCTGCAGATGATTTAAATGTTAAGTATGTGCCTATGTGGAGGATACACTGAACGGAATCTAAAAACTATTATCTCCTGTAGAAATGAACCTTCAATTTACTCACTGCACAGGAAGGGCAGATTCCAGTCATTTGCGCTGCCAGCAGGTGCCCTTTCTCTGCATAATGGGCTTCGCATGTGTAATTAACACATGAAGGCTGCTGCTGCCAGCTTTTTCTTCAGGTACATGCTGCTAGGAGTTTTCAGGACAACGATGTGGGCCACAAGAGGCTTTTACGCCGGGTTTGAAGATTAGGTATTCATCGACTTTCTGACAAAGCCATGTTAAAAGGGACGAAGTCCAGACCCCGCGGTCGGGAGCAGAAGTGGGCAAAAAGCAAACTCTCGGGCAGTGCACCCAAGGAAATACAGACACAAGTCACTGAGCTCTACTGAATGAATTCTTTCATGGCGTCACACGCTGTCCATATAACGATTGAGCCAGCTAGCGTATGAAAAGTATGATTTGGAAATGTATAATTATTAGGCAGACTGTAATTGCATGCTCATAAATACAGTAACTGGTTACCTTAGCCAGATACGGACTTTAATTGGAGAGGTAGCTACACAGGCTCTAATTGTTTGAGTAAGTCAATTTAGCAGCAATCTATGTGCCATAAATAAATTTCTCAAAATAGAATCCATCTATTTTGTAACCATGTGAACTTAGAGAGGTCATTTTTGCCGAGGAGGACCGAGAAATCAGCTCCGTGCCATCTGCTTTAAGGTGGTATACTTGCTCATTGACGTCTGCCTCTTAAGGGAAATGACCTAAGATTATTTAAAATAAAAGGGTCTAATTTAATTTTAATTATTGTCTTACTATTTCTTTTGCAAATGTGACATAAGAATTTTAAAGAGCTGAAAGGAAAACCAAATTGAAAGTGATGAGAGTTCTTCGGTTCTTATGAATACAAAGTATCGTGTTGATTCAGTTGACTGTGTCCATTACGGACAGTGCTGGATGGTGCTTTTGAATCTTCCGCTCTTTGAAAATCACAGAAGGGTGTATAGACTCTATTTCTTGTGATCTTTGAAAGTTTTGGAAAAAAGTATGTTCCACCTGTGATTACTTGCTTTTAATCGGCGTGAGTTGCAGTGGAAGCTTTTCCTATAAAGGAAACTTATAACTGATGGACTGACAGCTCCATGGTTGTGAAATTTGCTATTTGTTGTATTTCCCGGGAAGGGGAGGGGGAAGACAACAACTATTGGGGCTGTCCAGAACCACAGAAAGGCAGAATAGCGCTCTCCGCAGAGGGGGAGCAGGTGGGAACTCTCCTTCTTCCACTTGAAGATCCTTTTGGCCACCTTCACGTACAAGCAACCTCAGGCTCGGTGCGGAGGGTTCCCTTGGGCGGCGGAGAGAAGGGCGCTTTCCCCAGTGAGCAGCAAAGGTGGCGGTTTGGGTATTGTTCCAAGCGAGTGGCCACGAACACGCTCAATATGAATCCGTTTCACTGACACAGTTAAAGCTCAAGCGTTTTCTATAGCATTCGGTCCTTTATTGACATTTTATACCGGATACTTTCAAAACACTGTGGTTTCTCATTTTTTCAGTTTGCTCTTTGCCAATTTTTTTAACTTATAATGTGGAAGGGGGGGGGAAATTTTCTTCCCATTTCCCTCTTGAAAGGATTTTTTTAAACTGAATATTTATGTTCACCTGCATTCCTCATTCGTGTACCTAACCACAAAACTGAAAATGCCAAAGGTCTCTATCTCCAAAATGTTTGTTCTTGATACGCTTGCTCTTTGTATGAGGGGTGCTGAGCCAGGCATAGCGATGTGGTACCATGTACATGTGTCTGGAATGGCTTCGGTCATCCGATCCCTATCATTTAGATTAATTGGGGGGGGGGAGGGTGGAGAAAGGGGAAGAGTGCTATCCTTTATTTTTTAATTAGGTGCCATTCTTTGATATATTTTCAGCCCAGGGAAAGACTTTGGGTGGAGGAGACTGGAAATTGGTGGGAATCCTATCATTAGATTTCACACCTTAATGCACAATTGCTTGTTCCTTTGAATACAGAACAACAGGGGAAACATAGGAAGCGCTGCTGGTTGGGGGGTTTTTGTTTTGTTTTGTGTTGTGGGTTTTTTTTATTAAAAAAAGTACATGCCAGCAGGTGCCAGAAGTACCGTTAATGAGATACTGCCACCGAGCATCAGTAGCCAAGCACACACAACTACTTAAATTTGGCCAGATCTTGTCCATCTATTTGGTTTGGGGAATTTAAACATTTCTTGATGTGAAAGAAACAGTCTATTAATTTTTCCTCACTACTTCTTCCAGTTTGTTTTTCATGTGGCATAAAAACACTCCCACTGTGTCTGTTTTCTTCCTTTTTGCTCTCAGTGTCTGTGTTTAAAATTAGCCTGTACGAACAGCCAGTCTTTGCTGACCTGGTAACACAGCTTCATGTGTTCTCTAAGTCCCAGAGCATTGTCACTCGGGTTATTCTGTGGGCTTTTAGCAGAAGCAACAGTATATTTTCTGGGGTGATTAAAACAGTCTTTTATATCAGACAGACTGCTAAGCAGCCAACATTAATATATTCCGAGAGCCACCTCCTTCGAGCACCCTGGCACAGCTGCTGAACAAACCTTTCTATTGGTGGAGGTTTCCCTTTCTCCAGGAGTTTTTTTAACTCCCTTTCTCCTGGTTTCTAAATCTGCATATAGTTCAATATGCTCCTTTCAGTAGGTGGAGGGGGGGAGCGGAGGGCGAGTACTCCTGCTGCTCGGGAAACAATGATTCCTTCCTCAGGAGCCTCTTGGTCGGCAGTTTGATTTAGCCTGGTACATCTGCGTACTCGCTGAACGCTCTTGTAGTTGCTCTTCTGCTTTCTTAGCTGTCTGTTTTCTACATCTTTCCAATTTATGCAGTCAAGTTTCTAATTTGCATCAATTATCCCAATAAATTTTGGATCGAATTCTGTTGCATTTCAATGAGTAATCTGAGGAGAAATCAGAGAGTGCCTTAGGGAGTGGAGTACTACTGGTGTGAAAGAGCGACGCGTCAAGTCAGGATTTGTGTATCAAGACATGAACTTACTAAACATGATCTAATCAATTTTCCTGGAACAATGAAGGAAAATGGTACGAATCCCCGTGTAGCTGTAAACTGTGAACCTTTTTGAGATCCTTGGGTTTTGCATTACTTTTTCCGGTGAATTGCAGTGTTTTTTCAGCGTGGGTTTTTTCACTTAAGAGGAAATGTCCCTCTATTTCACCTGCTTCTCTTCCAATTAGTAGTTGCCTACCTCTTGGGAGCATAATTAAGAGGTCTCTAGTTAGCCTAAGGAAACGAATTAAAGAAATTGTAAAAATGCAACTATAATAAATGGGCAATATACAGCCATTAAGTCCACAATATCCATATTCATGCTTATGCATTGCTACTTTAATGATTTGATATTTACCTATATAACTCATTTGATTATAAATAATGCTGATTGCGTTGGGAACCTGTGTAGCACAAGAGGAGTAATAACCTTTCTCTTTGTTCCAAAAGACTTAGGCAGGCGTTTTGTTTAAGCAGTAAATATGCGTAGTAGAAAATGATACTTCTTAATTTTGCACTTAATGGATATTGGCTGCCATCAAACAACTTGGAGTAATTAGTAGCTGTGGTGGTGCGAAGCCCCAGGACTGATGAAGTGTCAAGCAGTAGGTAAGGACTGGTCTGAAGGGCAGTCTTTAATCTGCCACGGGTCCCGGAAGGATTAAAGGTTGTGCAGAGCGTTTCCGCTGTTTATACGAGCGATGTGTCGTACTGAAAGTTCACTTGAAAGTCTTGGAAATACACATCCAACCTGATAAAATATTAAAAACTGCTTGAGCGTTTCATGTCTCAAGACCTGGATAGCAGTTCGGAAGAACTATAATAGTGTGCTCTGACCGGGAAGAGGCGGCACACAGCGTTCCCTTGGACGGGGTGGTACCTGGGTATTTACGTAATGGCATATGGTTAACACGTGATAAAGAAAAATGGTGATAAAAGCCATTTATGAAGCCTGACATGAACCTTCAACATTTACATTTAGGTGTGTTTCCTTTTCAGTCAGATTGAGTGATGACAGAAGAATGTAATGTCTCTGGTAGATTTTATTGGCAATATACATGCTCTTTACCAGAGTTACATTTTATTGATGTTATTTGTGTTTGCTTAGTTAAACTTTTGGGAGTACAAGGAGCTATCACGGTGAATTATCCTTAAAATATCTTTGCTTTTGCTTTGCTGTTCATGTGTCGTTGACCAATAATGTCAGCTCTGACAAACAAACCGATTTTAAATAAAATAGGTAGTCAGATAATTTCATTTTTGTTGTCTGTGGAGAAAACACTTTAAGGTCCACATTTGGTTGATGAACAGTACCGATTATTTTAAAGCAGTTTTGAATAAACAAATTTCACACAAATGCACCTTCAAAAACAAGTGCTCCATGGGTGCATCACAAATCTCCTTTTCTCCACGTTTGTCACCTTTGACACACACCGAAACCTGCGTTTGTGCCCCTCGATTCTCTGCTGGGACGTGTGTAGACGCCTCCCATTTGCCATTCCTCTGTGCTGTCTTTCAGTCGTTACAAGCGATGGCTTTTGTGCATGAACCTGAGTTAATTTCTTTTCACATATTCCCATAATTGGGAAATTCTTTGTTTGTTTTCCGATCTAATCCATTTCTAAATGATGTGTGTTTCTTCTGCTTCATGTCTGAAATGTGGCCCATTCACCTGTGCCACTCCAGGCAGCTTTGCCCATCTCTGACCTCCTGGCATTTTCCCTCTGACTTCTGTAAGCCAAGCAATTGCTTATACATCTTGAAAAAGTTCTTACAGGAACTATTTTCATACTGTTTTGTCAGCCTTCTTCATTTACCTTCTTCTTTCCCCATCTCTTCTGCATCAAACCTGCTCTTCATGTTCCGGAGCCCTCCACAGCGTGTCCCGTCCGCTTGCCATTCTGCGCCAGTGCCGCGGCGCACTGCCCGCGGTCCAGCGTTGCACCCATGCGTTACATGTTTCTCAGAGAAATACCCGACATCATCTTCTGGGCTCTGCCTCATTCCCTTGTGGAAATCACTGCAACTCTTCATAAAACTAACACAAATATTTGCAAAACTAGCACATTATGCTTTAACAAATTACTGCTTCGAAGTTTCCTTTTTCCTATCAGTCAGCAAAACCGGAGCTGTTTTCCCCGTCAGTGGGTGCGCTAAACCCACTCTGCAGGTCCCCAGTATCGCATTGTTCCTCCTGTGTTCTCCTGTCTTAAGTGTGTGCCCAGTAAGCGCCTGACTGGAGTCCTTTAACATTTGGTAATACAACTTTAAAGAAATAACAGCTTTCAAAACACTGCTGAAAGTCAGGTTGCCTCAGTGCAATCCCTGTAATAGCTGTGTGCGCTGTATTGCCTTTAGGTGTAGTGTCTTTCTCTAGAAAATTGGAAAGATGACCCACTGCAGCCGAAGCTTATCCACATATCTTAAGCCGTACCTTTCCTCTCATTCCTTAAAATCTTTCTGGGGGTGCACGGTTTTAAGGATTTAGGCATTCTTATTCTTTTATTGATAAAGTGGGGGACTGAAAGATGGACATGATACAGTTAATTAACTTTTACAGGTTCGGGTTTTCCTGTGCTTGGTGACAGGCTCTACTTTCGGACATGTTAATAAACGACTAGTTTTCTGGAATACCGCACTCTTCCTGCTTCCTTTCATTACATTCACCAAGGTTCCACTAGATGAGACATTTGCAGTCTTGAGACTTCCTGCCGAGGTTCAGACTTTGTATTTTTGAGATTGAAGCTGTCGTGTTCATGAAACTACTTAATTAGAAACACATTCATTTCGGTGCACGCCGGAGGAGCCTGCAGCAGCGTAGCCAGGCACACGGGGAAGTTGAGCATTTGTGCAGCTGGCAGCTAAACCAATGGTTTATACTTTGAATATAAAATTGCTGGGTATTTTCTTGCTCCTGGAATGTGGCCATTGGAAATGAAGAGATGTGGGTGAAAGAGATAGCATTTGTCGCAAATAAAACATGCAAAATGACAAATAAAAATACTCCTCAGTTGAGCAGCAATCCATATGTAATAAGTGTGTATCATGTTGTATGGTAAAAATTTCTCGCCGAGAACTTGGACGTACGTTCTGGTTCTCATCTGTGGAATTCCCAAGGAAGCGGAACCCTCAGGATCTGTACCAAGTTAGCTTCCGATCCAGCAGTCCCTCTGCGCGACCGGTCCGAAGGTGCTGTTTGGGCAGAGCTCGGGCAGGCGCGTTGCTGCCAGCCGGGGCGGGTCAGCGCACTGCGCGTGAACTCGGGAGGGGGTTTTGACTTTATATATGTTTGATGTCTTCAAAAAGAAACGAAGTGTTTTCATGCAGAATGTCTAATACAGAGGCTGTTTCCGTCTCTTGGAACAGCATCCGACAACAGCGTAAGAATTTCAGGGGGTATATTAATAGACATAATAAATATTTATATGCACATCAGTAAATATGGGGTTTTTTTAAAAGGTATTTCTTATGAAAATGAGAACCAGAGTCATTTTTGCTGGTCTGGTGCCTTGCAAGAGTTTTTTCAGCACTGTACATCTCTTACTGAGCAGTAGGCACCAGTTTATAAAAGCAATATGGAAGATATTTTAATCCAAGGCAGTACAGTGACATTTCTCTCATTTTTTCATCTGAAGTTGAAAATGAGCTCTTTGAGCTTCTGTATCCAAAATGAAACGAAGCTCTATTTTAAAAGTTGTGTCTGTCTGTGTGCTTTCCGTTTAACAGGCAGTGTATGCCATATTTGCAATTAGCAGCTTTGGCATCCTCTTTGATGTGTTCTAATAAGCAGTGCAAATATAAGCTTTCCCTCACGAGTTGAGTGGGAGTCCGGTAATAAGCTTAATATTAGAAATACCGTATACACAAAGATACAACTTCCGCTCATATTCTTCTTGTGTTGTATAGTCCGTGTTGGTGTTTGCTAACAGCGTGGAAGAGAAGACCGAAAAGATCAATCTTTCTCTTAACTGTTAGCGTTCTCTTTGGTAAGAGCAGTATCGCACCTCTGCTCGAGGCTACAAATTTGGCCCAGGAGCCTCTTGGTGGATTGAAGTTTTGTGTTCTGAAGGGAATACTGGTATCGGCGTGTATCCCAGTAACTCTGGAGTTAGTCAGACTCCTCAAAAGTAATTTTTACATTTTTCTTTTGTAAATCTAAACATTTCAAGATTTATACTTAAATTATTTAAAATGTTTCTGGACCCACATTCAAAGGATTTAAAACTTGTAGTACCGGGTGATACATATACATTAAATTAACCACTTAACACTATAACAGGATCAGCTTTTCTAAAGAACAATCTTAGAAAAAGTCTGGGTATTTTTTTGAATATTGTAATAACCCATTTTGTTTGTTTTCTTAAAAAAGACCCCAGTATTATAGATGCATTTAATAGCTGTCCTTGTGTACCTGTCTTAACTTAGTCACTTAGAAATTCTGGTGTTGAGAAAAATTAGCCTTACAGTAGTGAGAGGATATTGCATAGTAAAAAAGGTTTTTCAAATATGGAATAAAATTTTGTTCACGTGTGGTTTGTTCATATATATATATTTTTTTTTAAAGCAAAATCTAATCCAGTATCCTGCTTTTTTCCTGTAGCTAATTTTATAAGTCATATGTGTTAATCCAGTGTTACGAGAATGTAAAGCGAGTTGGTTTTTTTTCCTCTTTGCAGTGCCCCGATGCCCTACCTCATTGGAATACATTTAAGTTTGATGGAGGTAAGTCTTTCTCACCATTTCTGAAACTATATATAGTTTTATGATTTAGAGCCAAGTTCTGCAAGCAATTATATATTAATTCATATGCTTAAAAATTAAATAATCCTGTTAATTTAGGAGTGCTGAGAGAACTGAAATTAAGCATACGTGATGATGTTAAATCTTAAGGGAGTCTTATTTGATCCCTTGTACTCTTGGGGCACGCTTTCCGTTCAGTTCAGCCGTCAGCGACGAGCTCACGTTGTGTTCCCCTCTCCATCCTGTTGCTTCATTTAATCAGTTTACTGCCTTAATTTGACTCTATTCACAAAAGCAGAGTCGATATTAAACCAAAATGTTGACAGTTATAGTTCTCTTTTAGGCTTTTGCAGACAGATTGTAATTTTTTTAACGTTCAGAAGATCTGAAAAGAAGGAACTTGCTGTTAATGTTAACACAAAGCTGGCAGAAGCCCAGCCCTCACAGAAAGCCTCACATATAAACAATTCAGAGTAATTCATGTGACTTTTTAAAAACTCTAAGAGTGGAAATAGCACATTTGCTTTTGCTTCCAGGGCTGGTGAAACAGTCGATGACTTTCCTCAAAAGTGTCTGGAGGACAACGTAAACTATGAATTTAGATCCCCATGAAAATCCTCGTCCTTAGGAGCCGTGCCCGTTTGCTCAGAGGGCCGGGCAGCGCGGCCGCGTGGGCAGAGGTTTCCCTGCCCGAAAGCTCTGCCTCTCCTGGGCTCGTCAGTTCCAGGCGGCACTGACCGGCCAGGACTGGCAAATGCCCTTCAGGTTCATTGACTCACGTCCCTCTTTTTAGAGACCTGTGTTCGGAAATCTGGGCTTAGGGCTTAGGATACAATTTACAAAGCTGAGTTTTACATCACATAACGTAACGTGTATTTCTAGAATATTTGTTCTTATATTGACCATAAAAATGTGTAATTTCCCTGGAAATACTCATCAAACATACTCTTCCACTAGGGCATGTGTATGTGGTAATGAGCCTCTAGTCTAATTTTTAACACACAAAGACATAGTGTGCTATGTAACTTCCCCCTTTTTCCAGCGTTAACGTGAAGTAATTTTAGAAGTCGCTTTTTTCATGAGAAGCTAAATGGAATATGCAGGACCTCTTTTTTCTTTTTTTTTTCCCTTACCATCCTGGCTACAGATGACTCTTTTTATGCCCTTTATATTGCTAAATAAAGTACAGAATTGCAGTACAATGTGTTAGTGAATAAGCAATTATTTTAAAAGTTAACATGTACGTTTGTTTGCACATCATATGCATATGGTAGGGGGGTTTCTGATAATTACCCTTGAATACTGCATAGGCGGGACCAAAGCAATGTCTAGGAAGAAACAGTCTAGCATATATTTTTACGTATTGATCAAGAAGCTTTCTGCCCCATATCTGTACCAGGTAGTCGTTGGCACGCTTGTTATGGTATCTATCTATTTGAAAAAGGAGGAGGAGGCCTGGTAGAGGACGGGATAATATCTCAATAGAGATACTTGCCAGCTTTCACAAATATTCTTGCTCACAAAGAGCTGTACGCATGGTCAGCCTGGCAATGGGTGTAGAAAAAAAATTAATAATTACACCTTGGAGTTGCTTTGCATGATGTCTCACTCCTGCCTGGCTGTATGAGCCCCGTGCCTCTTCCTTTGTCTCCGTTTTTCAGAGCGCAGGGCTCTATAGGCCTTCCAAACTCCATCTGTAAAAACTCAAAAAAAGGAGTTGTTCTTGCAGAAGCCAATTTTCATCCGTTTTAGTAACTTGTGAAAAAATCTGTTGCGTACTAAATCCAGTACGGCTTTTGAATAGCCAGAGATTCTGGAACGCAGACACACTTTGGCAAAGTACGGTTATTCAAAGTGCCTTATGAAATAAATTAAATAAATAAAACAAACTCTCTTCTCTCCTCCCTCTGCTATTAAGGATAAATTGAATACTTCCAGACAGTAATGCATCTTCCAGCTAACTGTGCTTTTTCCATTGAAAAATAAAATAAAATCACAAAGTGGGCTATTGTATCTGTTTGTTGGCAAGTGCTGCATAATTTTTCTGTGCCTTAGGCAAAGGAAAGGTGACATTTGTCAAATGAGCTAGACAATTACTAGTTTACCTCTTCGCCTGTTTGTGATGCCGAGAGCTTGCTCTCTTTGTCCTTTTCTTCATATATAGGTATAAAATTGTGTGGTTTATTTGTTAGAATAACAACTTCGTAGTAACAGCAGTTTTTTTTCTCATGATCTAGCAGATGTGTATTTTAAAAAATACGTGTTGATTTTTCTATATCAAAATAATTTTATGAACTACGACTGAAAACTATTGTCATTATCCAGTATTCATTTTTCATTAAATGCTGAAATTCCAGCAAGTAGATCTTTAAAAGTGTTTTGTTAATCCACGTGTCCTGGTTCCAGGGTAAGGGATTAATTCCCAGTCTTCCGTTCAAGTTAAGACAGGTGGACTCTTTATCTACTGTAGAGCCCCAGGGGCGTAATTGCCGTTGGATGTAGGCTCACGGTTCTGCTCCAGCAGCTCCAATTGCAGAATTTGTCATTGTTGCGTAAATGTTAGTGGAAGCCTAAACTTGTGCAGAGAAAGCTGTGGTGTAAAGGGGAGGAGGAATTTGGAATGCAGGAAAAAAATAATTTTCTAGGTTTAGTCTTGTTTCTGTGGGGTTTTGCTATGACTCATTGGAATGGGTCCTCTGGAAGAAATAGAGCAGAAATGCTAATGATTTTAGACAAAATACACCCTCTCTCTTGCCTTGAAAGATTTTTATTTTTTTTTCCAAACCATTGTGTATCTTAAAGTTAGTTTGCAGTTTCCCATGTTACACGGGGTCTCTGTGGAAGGAGTAGTTATTTTAATGGAAAATGACAAATTTTTCTTATGATTAAAATATCAAGCATATCCATTGACTGTTAAATCTAATTTGCTGTGACTGAAATGTTCTCCAGTGAGATAAGATAATCTCCTGTTATAGGTCAGAGGGCTCCAACTGATTTATGAGGGAAATCTTGGTTGAAAATACAGAGCTGTGTTTTGTGCTCTTATTTTTCAGCTTTTCTATCATCACCTAGTTAGTCATTCTTTATAAGATTTCCATTTAGCAATCCATAAAGTGACTTCAAAGAAGGCTAAAAGTTTATAAGCTGTTGGATGGGCAAGGCTGGAGCTATCACATGAATAATGGAACATGCTTACGGAACTAATTGAATTCATATTAGATGAAGATAAGTACTTAGTACTGATAAATATCGAGATAGGAAAACGAAACTCTATCAAACAAACACATCCCTTTCATAATCTCGTTTTATTTTCTACCTGCATACTGTATGCTGGTTTAGTGTTCAAATTATATTAAATTGACCTTTGTGTTATGAGCGGTGTCAAACTTAGCTGGCAGCCTTTTACATTTTGTCATAGTAAACGATTGTTTCAGCAACTGTTTCTGCAGCGAAGGTTATTAGTGTGATGGCGCTGATGGAAGAGGAATGCCCTTGACCTAGTAGACTACCGATTGGAATTTAGGCACATATGGGTTTGATTAACCAGAGGGACAGTTCTGTTTAGCTCTCGGATACTGAGCTGCTGGCAGCATCCTCCTCTGGGCCAGGCTTCCCGCCAGGCGAGTAGCAATAATGCCCTAACTTATCATGGTCTCTTCGGGGCACAAACCCAACCTTTAGAGTTAGTTAGTGATTATAAAAGTATTTCTTAAACTCTTTTGCAATATTGCAGTCACTCGAGGACTCTTTCTGGGACTTCACAATTTTAATTCTTGCAAGACTATCCAGAACGGATTTGTGGGTGAAACCACATTGCATTTGTCAGAATGGTTTTCTAACATTTTTCCTAAGCACAAAGGACAGTTGTGCATATCATAAAACCTACACAAGCAGATCCTGGTTTTATTTTAACCTGGTGTAGGTAAATCTGTCCATGTTAGGAAAAGAAGGTTCACCAAAACTCACACTGTCTTTAATACGCTCGGACCCAGCAGCCGATCTCACTTCATGTCGGTAGTCTCTCCGTATGCAGACAGACGGATGGCGAGCGGTGGGTTCTGTCTGCTGACCCCCACACAGGTATTCTGGATGCACTTTTTGGCATATTTACCTGGCTTTTTCAGGTAGGCATGAGGATGCTCTGTTTGTGACCTGGTCTGATAATATGCCACTTAGCATGCACAGAGTCTGGGCTAACGAACTCTGAGAGGTTAGAGAAGCTCGGGCTTAGTCCTGACAGTGCCACGTGGCGTCCCCTTGCCGCAGAAGCCACTCTGAGAATTCATCGACCACTGGCATCTCCCAGCGGTAGTGTTAATTGTTAATTATATTCTTTTGATTGGGGTGAGAAGTAGTACTTAGCTTTTCCATCCATTTATACTTAGTAAATCACTGCCTTTTCTAGTTATAGCTGAAGAAGTGTTGCTTTTTTACAGGGTTTAAATGAAGGGATTATATAGATACTTAAATCCAGGTCTTAAAAACCTAAATGTAATTTCATCACTCACAAATATTATAAATATGGCTATGTGTGGTTTCAGGAGTATTGACAAAAATGCATTTTAATATGACACATTACTTACGGAATTGTCTTTTATCCAATTATTGGGAAAATTAAGGTAATAACTGCGTTTTAATAAGAGATTTGGGGGGGCAGGGATGTTTGAGGTGTAAGTTCAAAGAAAAACAAACACTGCAGTACCAAGCAGACTTACCAATAAGTCTAGGCTTACCAGTAAGTACCAGTGAGAAGGTTTTTCTTCTGTTGTACAGTCGCCTCAGACCAGCAGTAGTGATGTTTGTCACTCAGTTGGCAACAGCTGCTTGTGATAAGGATCTCGAGCATCACCTGTACAGGATCAGGGTACCGCACGTCAAGGCTGGGAGATGGGCGGAAGAGTGGGAGATGCACGGGAGGGGGCAGCAGCCCACCTGCTGTGCCCAGATCAAAGGGCCGGGAGGTCAGGGGGCACATCCAGCTTAACCAGATTTGTCTGTTGAATAGCTATTTCAGATTGTAAATCTAAGGGTGATTTCATTAAGTCCTTCTGGCTGCTGTTGGGGCATGAAATAATAAAATTTTATATCCGTTGCCTTTCCTGCTTCTGGCAGCCAGATTGACACATTGTTGTCTGCAGTGTTGTGGTGTTTTTCTTAAGAAAATAAATGGAAACTATTAACTAAGTAGAGACAAGTCATTAAGCAAATGGATTTTAGACTTGCTGTGAATCATACTTCCATAATAATTTCAAATGTCGTGTACAAATTAGCTACTAAAAATGTTAGGGTTTGTTAAGAGTTTTACCTTTCCAAAAGAATTTGTGGAAGGTACATTTTATTTTTCTGGTACAACATTTTTTAATATGTTGATCGCATTTGTATCTGGTTACAAAACCTCATGATCAACTTGGTTGATGTTTTGGCACCAATTTAGCCATGAAATTATGGAAACCCCTTTTTTGCGGGGTGAGGAGGGTGGTATTTGGTTTTTTTCTTTTTAAATGAACTATTCAACAAAATTGTTCATCTGAAAGAAGTTTTAACTTAAGATTTTTTTATGGTAGGAAATGCAAAAACTGCCAACTGTAGACAGTGATAATAAAATAACATTGAGTATAAACTCGTTCCAGTATTATTGATGAATGTTGCTTCTGGCACGTGATCTGAGTGAGGCAGAGGCACACCCCTTAATACTTCTATTAGAATATAGTTTCTCGGAGTTTTTGCAAACTTTCACATAAAACATTTAAATTACTTCAAGTGTTTGGCTGCTTGTGAGCAGGACAGATGCACTAACTGCTGCTTATTTACTGACCTGGTGTTTAAGGCCCCCTGGAGTTTGTTTGAAAAGTTAAGAGATTTTCACAGTAAAGGTGCCATTTCTGAAATTTAAAGTGCTCTTTTCACCAGGAGATAAGTTCTCTCTGATTAAGTCAGTAATTCTTACTAAGCCATGTTTATAGAGGCCATAAACAATGGGTTCAGTGTGCTTGTTAAACCAGCTTTCCATACCTCTCCACTCTTTTAAAAAGAGACATTTAAAATAAAAGGCAGGTGTAGATGTTAGTTTGATTTGATGGTTTTTACATGATTAATTATGGCTACAAGTAATTCGGTAAGGATGGTTAAGAAAGGTTTACAGTAGTGATAGGTGATATACATTTTCACTGAATCACTTCTTTTGCCTCAGCAAATCCTTAGTCTGTAGTAAAATCAGATCAGGAAACTGTAATTTTCATATTTCTTCTTTGCTTCTCCACATTTTTTTCAGCAAAATATGAACACAGTGAATATAGTCCGTTCCGTTTAAGAGGTACCACTTTGTCTGTAAAATTTTGTTTAGATATTCAGGAAGTTGTGAAATATGGAATGTGACTGTATATAGCTTAGCGGCTGTCCCCTTGTATTTTGAGAAAATTACACCACCACACAAACTGTACCTGTCAAAATGATCTACGTGGATTTGCGATTCATGGAGTCCAAGGGTATTTAATGTGAGAAAGGTGGTTGGATGCTGGGAATGCTTACTAACAGTCCAACAAGGGAGTAAATACTTTTATTTCCAGGTCACTTGGGCTGATAGGTACTATGTTGAACAAAAGAACCATTCGATTATTTGAGAAAAGCCCTTGTAACTATCTGATAATACCTATATCAAAGATTATAGTGAAAGGAAAGATTATAAAACCAGATAAGGATTAAGATGAACTGGTCAATCTGCATTTCTCTAGGATGAGCCACAATTGGACCACTGAAAACTTACATTTTTTTCAAATGCATTGCAAGACAGATGCTATAAATCAAGTTAGTTTCAAGTATTTCATTAAATTTTAGGGTTTCTCTCCAGGGAAATCCACTGTCTTAATAAAAATATTGAAGTTTTAAAGTAAGGTTGTGCTCTTCATGGTGTAAAGGTATAGCACAGCAGCGTTTAATCTTAACCTTCCTTTTGGATACGATTATTTCTGGGCCATGTGTGGAGATGATTATGTTGATCAGCATTTATAGTCCTTGCACCATGCGCAACATCCCTTTGCGCTGTAGTCCTTGGCAGATAGCCGCTGGTCACGAGCCTGTTCTGTGCTACAGAAATGCCCGACGTTCTGCTGAAGGGAAGGTGCAGATTCATCACCAAAGTTACAAAAACACCCTTTGACAAGTTCAAGCAGGTTTGTTGCTTCTTCGGCAGGAATCAGGAGAAGGTTTTAATTCCTTCTGTCTTGTCCTACTAGCATTCGATTTTGACAAGCTTCTGGCTTTGGTTAAGTACATTGCAAGACCTTTTTGTTGGAGCTTTTAGACTCCTCTGAGTATAAGTGAGATTTTTAATTTTCTGAAACAGGAAGGAGCAAATCAGTTTGTCTGGTGCTTCCGGACTCCTAGAAGGAGCGAGACTCCTGGATTGCTTTAGAGTTTATCAGATGCAGCCAACAGAGTGACCTTTAGTGCCTGAAATGTGGAGGAAAGTACCTGGTTTGTCCTGCAGTACTTGTGCTTTTTATGTGGAAAGCATTAAACGTAATATTCATCCATTTAAATTAAGAAATTTCTCATGGAAGACCTAAACTTAAATGTCTACAAAGTGTTTTTTATAGTTGTTGGCTTCCCCCCGCTCCCCTTAAGTACACAGCAGTTTTCTTTATAGACAGAGAACTGAGCCTTGAAAACTGAAGGTAATTACTTAGACGCCTAAGGCTCAACTTTGCCATTGTTTTAGAGCTTTGGTTTTTAAAGGAAACAATTCCCTGCACCCTGCAAAACCTTAATTAAAAATTGAGTATGTTTTTGTTCATTTTCCTCCTCAGTAACTTGTGTTTGGTCCTACAGATAGGTATGTAGGTATTAAACATTTGTTTACAGTGTCACAGGAAATTTCCTTAATTACCATATTCTATAGTTCCACTTTTTCTGATTTTGCATTTTCAAAACTGTATTTGAAGAGGGCTTAAATATGTATGATTAGTCAGTCAAAAAAAAAAAAAAGGATTCAAGTCTCCCTTTAGTGGAAAAAGTGTTAAAATAAATATTTAAATGCTGCTGTTTCATGTCAGCAATTAATTTACTGTTTAAGCAGGGAAATAAAGTCTGAGAATGTTTAAATTTGCTTAGATCACCAATACCTTCAGACACTTAAAGTCAACGGTACTAATGGTCATTGTTTTGAGAAATAGGTTATGCTTTTCTCTTGTATGTCCATGTACTGTTACACATGATGTGAATACTCAGTCTAGATTAGAGACATTTCTTTCAGTTAATGGGAACAGGATAAAAAATTCGGACTCTCTGAACATTAAGAGACCAGGATATGGTGGAGTTATTTTTCTCTTAGCTTTTAAAAAAAATTAATTATTTATTTATTACCCCTCTGGTAGTGTCCATTTTAGTTACAGACAAGTTTACAACTGTGTTTATTAGAGCTGCAAAATTCAACCTGAAATTTGGAAACCAGTTTCCATGCCTGACTTACAAGTCTTAACTCCTAGAAAAGCCCCTATTGATTGCTGTTTAAATTAATATTTAAATATAAAAAGACACACTTGAAATCTTGACTCAGCTAGAAACTGCTAAATGTGCAAACAGGGTATCAGAGTTAAAATAAACATTAGTAGAGGTGCTTGAAATAAATAATCTCAAACAGTAGCACCCTGGCTTCAAAAATTTCAGTACACACAATGTTAAGAACTTCCCTCTGCAAACTGAATGTTAATTTTTCATCTTTGTGAAATGTGAATAAATAAAACAAATGATGACAGAAAGCCAGGAGCGTTGGTTGGTTTTAAAATGCTTGAAGTTTTCTAATGCCATGATGTTTTGCTATCGGTTGTGTCCTTTATGCATAAGGTCTGACTCTGCATACCTGTATTTTCCTTTCCCTTTTCTTGAATTTGCTCACATTTAGAAAGTAAGAAACATGGCCCTGGAAGATGTAGTGATTCTTAATGTAGACACCAACACACTGGAAACCCCTTTTGATGACCTTCAGAGCCTTCCTAATGATGTGGTATGTATGAAATGATTTATTCAGCTATTCCGGTACTTAAAAGTGTAAATCCTTTTGACCTGTTCAGTTTGTAACTGAGGTGTCTCATTGTGTTACTCTCGTTATAATAAGAAAACTACTTTACCTCAATTCTTTCCTGTTTTGAAGTGTTAAGCAATGTTTATTTGAACATTTGCAGACATATTTTTAAACCTCTTAATGAAAATTAGCAAATGCTCACATAAGCTGGAAATACTGCAACACCCCAGTTTGGGTTTTGGAATGACATAATCAAGTTTCACCTAAAAAGCTAGTCTTTTATAAGGGAAAAAAGATAAATGAAAACCACGCAGGTTATGGTACATCTGAACAGGAAACAAAACTTCAAACTTCTTTCTTCATGTTGTGAGAAAGAAGTACTATTTGAAACCATCTTTATCCATTCCATTAGGAAAAAAAAATCCTGCATTTTAGATAACTTTTGTTTTCAAGTGCACTTTTTTCTTCCTGTGACTTCTTCCAGGTGAGTTTTAATGAACTTGTGCGTCTTGTATCCTGAATTATGATATCAAATGGACTACCTCATATTCAGTTCTAGCACTGCTCAGTGCATATAATTTGGAACTTTCTTTCTCATTCGGACTTCTAATTGGTTATTGGTTAATTTTTTTAATAACTTGATAGAAAGTTGTATAAATACTTGATCTTTCCCTTTAATGGGACAAAAAAATACATCCAGCTTGCTACTTGCTGCTGTAATAATCATCTTCACCAAAGCTGAGAGGGAAGAGCGATAAAGTGAGTAAGAGTGTAAGAAGCTATTTTTAAGTCAGAGGGGGACTGTTTAGGAGAAAACAGCAGAGGAAAATCTGGACTTCTTTTACTAGTTCAAAATAATGTGCTGACGGTTAGATCTATACCTCTTTATGTCTAGTTGAGAAATAAAATTAATATGCAGGGAGCTCAATATAAGCTGGTGTGTTTGAGGAAAATCTCAGGTCATGATAAATACCCAGTGCCGCCTCCTGTGACATCCCATCATTTCTCTGTGATCCATGATGTGATCCGTTCCTCGAAAACAGCAAGCTCTGCATAAAAGGTCCATCTTGATTGTGAACGTTTTGGCTTTAGTCAAGCATTTACTCTATAAAAGTTACTTCCATGAATTTTTCTGGCTTTATATAGTTTTTCATTTTGATTTCACTCCCAGTATCCAAATCTGCCAGCTGGTCATCGCTGGTGCCATTATCCACAACCCGGAATGACAGACTTGTGAATTTCATGGAATTATGTAAGAAATGTCTGGAGACAGTGAGCGCAGGGCCTCAAACATGTATATGATTTGTCAACAATCAAGTATTATATTAGATTTTATGAGACTTCATTAAAGGAGCTGTTGTAGGCGCACTGTAGAACATCAGAAGAGACTTCACCAATAAACACAGAACTTCAAGCTTTGGAATGTAATAAATTTTAAGAGACTTCCTTCCTTTCATTATTTACTTTTACTTCACTTTTATAACAGTAGAGAGTTGTGTTTTATTAGTTCAAATTTCTTGATTCAGTTTTCCTCAGGTCTATTTAAAAGCTACAATTTATCTTGGAGGATGTTTGGAGCATAGCAGAGGAAGTGCTGCCAGCAAATTCAATTAACTGGCATGGCTCACCAATAGCGTACGTGGTGTATTTTTTTTCGCAACTGCCATATAAATACAGCTGGGATTAATATTTGTCGCAACAAAGCCTTAACTTGAATCGTGTTGTGTTGTGTAATTAATGTTTGGGATCGGTGTTTATGTCTTATTTAGCTTTGTTTCATTATTTTAGTTACCTAGATAATAATGAAGTATTCTCCTCTAGGTCTTTCCCTTTCCTTCAGACTGCTTAATATTTGGCTTTGACCACTAGAGAGCAGCTGCTCTTCTGTGCAAGAATTGAATTTCTGTCAGTTCTTTCATGCATCATGTGTTTGGAACTGTAAGTGGATCAAGTTGTTCATCTCAGCAGGGAGACTCTAAAGCCAATCCATTATACTTTTTTTCTTTTTCTTTTTTTTCTTTTGCTTCCCTGGGAGGATGGGGAGATTCTGGGACTGGGTCTCCCCACTGATCTCAGTCTGAATAGATGCATTTATGATCTGAGAAACTAAAAATGTCTTCAACAGTTTCATGGTTGTAAATGGCTGTGATGTCAAACTATTCTGCCAGTTTTGCTACTTAACGTGAACAGTGAACAATTCATGCACTGCTGAGTAGATACAAAATTTACTTTGCTAAATTAAATCTGTCTGTATTCAACAGTGAGGAGAAACATCTTCTGTGTGATGCATTCACCATCAGGTAATTAATCCAGCAGAAAATTTTTAAAGCTGTTTTTCCCCTCTTCTTGAACAGCTTTTTAATCAAGTAAAACAATGCCATGAAGTCCTATGATTATTTTAGAGCTTCAGGTAGTGAGTTGTGCTTGAGTTTCATGAAAGTCATGTTGCTACCTAAACTGTTGATTCTCAGAAATCTGGAATGAAGTATTCACTCATTTTTTACTCCAAGGATCCGAGCCAACATAGGCTATAGAGAAATGCCTTTCCAGTTAACATTTGCATCACAGGAGCTGGATAGCATTGAGACAGTTCCAGCAGAATCAGATTAAGTAATTTCTCTGCCCTGATTTACCTCAGCAGTATCTGCTAGCAGTCAGACTCCCAGAACTGGTCAGGTCAGGTCCCTGGAAATCAAGGTGTGCACTACTGCGTTACTGATTAACTATTTGAAATGTGAAAAACTGTCCCTCCTTCACCTTCTGCTTCTGATCTGTTGCTGAAAATCTGGCAGCATGAGAACGCCCTGGGAAGTAACTTTCCTTTTAAAATAGTCAATATTAAAAAAAGAGATTTATTAAGGACTGTGATTACAATAAGTGCATCTGCTGCTGACAAGTCTCCTACACCACCGTCTGTGTTGCAAGGAATAGCAAAGAGGGGGTAGTAATTTTTTTTATGCAACCCTTATGGATTTTTCATGTATTTCCAAATAAGTGTCATCTTCTAGTCTTAGTTGTAGTCAGAGCTTCATATTACAAGGAATAAAGCATAAGCTCGCTCTGTCAACTTGTAGTTTTTATTAAATGAAGCCCTGATGCAATGCAGTGTACTGCGCCAAAGAGATCTTGCATATCTGATGGCTGTGAGAGTATTGTAAATTTGCACGGTCCTATGAATATCTCAGACTGTCAGTAATTTAGTTGTGGATGCTACTGTTGCCCATTCATTAACAAGTTACCACAAGTAGGAAGCCTGTGCTACTGTTTTGCACTTAGTGGGAAATTAACTGCTCTCAGGACAGCAAGAAGTACTAAACTACAACTCTGTAGCAGAGCCATTTTTTTAAAGGTGAATCCATTTTTATTTCTTACACTGTGTTTGCAATAGAATGTTTCTTGCTTTATTCATGTTGACAACTGAAAAGCCTTGGACCTAATTAAAAGAATTTCCACTAGCACCTTTACTGAACCATTTCATTATGCTGCATTGCACAGATTGCATTTTGAAACATGGTGATAGTTTAAATCTGACCTTTAAACCTGAACTGCCAGAAGTATAAAAATCTTCCTTAAAAACACTCTCAGAGTAGACTGTATGTGTATGTGTCTGTTTGGCTAGAAATAATCTTCATGTTGAGTGGTCACAGTCTTATTTTTTTAGAAGTATTACTGCCTCTTTAGGCAGTAAACAATCACAATTCTGTTTGTATTATCTACTTTGTCTTACGTACTAATTTATTCCAGCGTAAACATGAATATTTTTTCTTACCTGTTAATCTCTTTAAATACGTTGTTGTTAACATTTTATTTTTTAAAAAACTGACATGTGTATTGCAGTAGTCCTGATTGAAAGAGTAAAAGCATGCATATATAAAATAGACATCCTATAGTGCTCAATTTAGTCTTAGAAGAGAGCAAATGGTCTGAAAGCTTAAGGGATTAGCAAAAGACCTATCAATGTTCTACTTCTATATGAAATAGGGAAGCTGAAACACAGAAAGGCTGTAACTAGCCTTCTGAACTTTCAGTTTGTTGTAATACACAGCGTACAGCGTTTTCCTTCTATATAGATGGCAAGTTCTTTATCTTCATGTCAATGTTTAAAGAAAACCACTTATAAAAATGTTTGAGAAGGATTTGGAAGTTACTCAGAGCCATAGACATTTTATTGCATTTTTAAGAACTACTGTTAAATGGTTTATATAAGTTAATGTAGGAAATAAAGTCATACTTCATCCTTACAACATCAGACTCCTTCAAACACAGAGAAGTGTGCTGTTCAGGCTTGAAAGTCTGATGAAGCTTTTACATTTTGAGAATAACAGAGTTCCTTGAGCGCTGTTATCTTGGTGAATAGGAGCGAGCTTATTTTATGGGCATGATACACTTAGTCTGTTATCAGGTATTATGTTAATATGTGCTTATGGGCTAATCAGTGCATGGATCATTGGCATAAGCCACAGCATTCAGATTTATAAACAATGCTGGACATGCTCTTGCTTCTCTCTTTTATACTAAATAACTGTAGTGAAAATTCTACAACAGAAGCTGCAGAAAATCTTAACTAAAAGTAAACCTATTTGCAACTGTTTTGGTGAACACAAGTTTTCAAAGAAGAAAGTGTAGTGCACAGTATGGATTATATATTTCACACCTGTATTGCCAGGTAAGGAGTCCCTTTCCTGCTCTCCCCAAATGTGAGACTGCTGAGGGGGGAAGGGAGGGATGTTCTCACAGGAGGGGTAGGACTGAAGTGCTCAGGGACAGTTGGGCAGTAAAGTCAGGCTGCCATTTTGCTGCCAGCCTGCCTCAGCAGCAAACCCCAAGGCAGAAGAAACTCATCTGGTAGATTTTGGAGATACGGATGAGGCCAGAGTAAGCTTTTGTTATGAGCTGCAGGATAGGGAGAAGGTCTTGAAAGTTAATTGGAACATTTGAACCGTCAGCTTATATTTTCTGAGGTATTATTCATACTTTCAGAAAACGCAGTTGGTTATGTTCGCTACAACAGAATCTGCCTACTCTGTAAATAATACTCCTAAACATTTCTTGCATAGTATGAAGTATATAGAGCTACCTAATGGAGTTTTTCAGAATAGCATTTGAAAAAGGAAGATTTGCTAGTTATTGGAAGAATTATTTCTGTTAAATTCATAGTACGGGTATTTATGGAGTCATTCATGTTCTTCTGCAATTCAAGATGACTGGGGATTCCCTGGCTTTCTGCTTTCCTTCTGAAATTGTGGCTCCTTCCTGTCTTCTGCGTAAAGTATCTCATCAAACTCGGGTTTTACATGTGGCATGACCGCATCCTCTAAAAGCAGTAGTTGAATTTCTTTCAAGAATCAGTGCCCAGATTGTTGTTTCTGTATTGTGACGTGTTCTGTGAGATCTGTCTCAAAAACTTAGCTTGCCTTGGTTCTGTCTGCAACACCAAAAAATTTCTACTGACATAACTATTTGTTAATGATTTAACGTAACCTATAACTGTTGCAGCACAGGCACAGCAAGCTTGATGCTAATCTTTGAAAGGTTTTTTTATCTCCTTTCCCAGCTTGTGTTTGGGAAAGAAAAACACTGCCACTAACAATAATGTATAGATACGCAACCTTACTTCAGTAGTTACTGAGCTCTAAGCACTAGAAAAGAGACATCAAACTAAGTCACAGGCTTCTTGTGTGTATGAGAAATTCTGAAGCACAGGGAACAGTAATGGTTAATCCTCTAAAACATTAGCCCTTGGTGTACACAGAATGCAAAGAATATTCAGGTAACCTGGATCACGGTAGTTTTAACTCTGCCTACACAGAAACGTCTTTAGTTGATATTTGCTAAGTTGTGGTGGGTAAGTGTCACTGTGTAAATGGTAATGAGACTGTTAGGGGTGTGTTGGCCTAAAGTGCAGCTGTGTGAGTCCTGAGGTAACTAAAGGCCTCCACAGTGGAAGGGGAAGGGCACCGAGGGTCAAGAGGAGAGCCAGCCTGCGCACAGGTGGTTTAGATCTCTTGAGAAACAGGAAGAAAAAAACCCACAGTAGATACTGACCATTTTGAAGGACAGAATGTTGTTAATTTGAGACTTTAAGAAAAAATGGCAGGGTTTGTGTTCTTGATGGCACGGTGGTGGCGAGGCATTGGCGAGGCCTGCAGGGCTCTGTGAGGAGAGGCCCAGCCAGAGACCCCCAGCCAGGGCAAAATGGCGGAGCGAGGGGTGAGTGAAGTGTGGGGAGGAAGGAACGGCACGGAGGGGCTGTTCCGGACTGACCCTGAGCCCCGTGTCCATCGCCTGGCACCCCTTGGGAGTCAGGAAGGGAGGGGGGAAGCTGAGCCTGGGGGAAACTGGGGGGGAAGGTGTTCTAGTTTCTCACCATCCAGCTCTATTTTAATTGGCAATAAATTAAATTCATTTCCCTAAGTCGAGTCTGTTTTGCCCGTGATGCTAATTGGTAAGTGATCTCCCTGCCTTTATCTCGGCCCACGAGCTGCTTCTTCGTGTTTTCTCCCCTGGTGCCGCTGAGGAGGGGGAGGGAGAGAGCGGCTGGGTGGGTGTCTGGGAGCTGGCCAAGGGAACCCACCATATGCATGAATAAAACTCTCATTTTGTTATTTCGCATTAAGTCTCTGAAATACAAGGGAATATAGCCTTAAAAGAAAAAAAAAACCACCTGTATTTGTTCCAAACAAATTTTTCAGACCTACGGAATTTGTTCTTAGCCTTGGTGGTGATGGGTGGCCTGATTATGCAGAACAGTTTCTCTATTAGTCTGATGTTTAAATTAATTTAGCTGAAATTCTTTCATGGATTCTAACCAAGAGTGATACAGAACTTCATGGACTACCTTTAAAAGAGTACTCAACAGCATGTTAACAGTGGATTTTAAGTAGGAGGGAAGGTTGAAATGAAGCTTTTATTTTCCTATTGGTTTCTGAATAGAATCCACTCCTGGAGAAGCAAAACAGCTTGAAAAGTAATGCTTTTAGAACTGAAAAAATCAACTCTGAACTCACAATGTCACTTTTTGTCATAACTGCTACTGTGGTTAGTGCATTTTTGATTTAGCTGTGTCCCAATGTGTTCAGCTTTGTTTGTGATATGAGAGTGATCTGGACCTGTTGTGTGATTTCAGGTTTCTGCACTGAAGAACAGATTGAAGAAAGTCTCTACAACCACTGGAGATGGTGTTGCAAGAGCGTTTCTAAAAGCACAAGCATCTTTCTTTGGGAGCTACAGAAACGCCCTGAAAATTGAACCTGTAAGTAGGAAATTAGTAGGCATAAGATGTGAATCTGCAGCTGCGGTGGGGGAAAAAGCTAACAAGAATTCAAAGTGTAGTATAACCTACTTTTACGAAGGTCAGCATTGTGGTTCTTTGGCTAAGTAGTACTGACAAAGGTGTTCCAGTTTCCAAAAAAGAAAAAGGTGCAACAAGCATGATCAGTCACACAGGTAGATAACTTCTTATGGAACGGTATGGGTGTTGCTTGTTTCTGAAGACAATTCAGTTAGAAGAGAGGTTATAAAAAAAGTATAAATTAATGATCATAGGAGGCTAGTGCAGAGTTGATAATTTTCTTTCACTTGCAAAACCTGGGTATTCATTGCATGATTTTTAAAGGTAGTAAAATATATACTACTTTTTACACAATATATGATTAACAGTGAAACATGCAAATTTATGGAATTTAAGAACATAATGAAATTAGTAAAGAAATTGTGATTTTACAAAATACGAAGAATGTCTGGAGTTGTAACTATTGACGATAAATGTTGTGTTAGGGAAATTCAGCCTCTTGCTTCTGGTTCGGAGCTAATCTCTATTTAGCAGCGATTAAGTGCCATCTGAGTGGGGGAAGGATTTTTCTGTACTTGATCTGGGGTTTTATTGCTTCTAGTGAGGCATCTGTTCCTGGCTTACTGCAAGTAGCTTCATGGACTTCAATACAAATCAGTCCAGCCAAATTAATGTATTTCCACATATTTTGTGACACTCTGGTTTTGCTGCTGTGTACTTAGGGGGGTCCTGTTAAAAGATAGCAAGTTAGAGACAAGGTAAATAGTTTGAGGAACATGTGTGTAATTCATGAGATAAGTCCCAGAAATATGTGGGGTGAAGAGTACTAACTGCAGAGGGGTTCACAGAATATTTCAAAAATATTCTGTGTTCCATATTTCTGACATAGGGGAAACTAACACCTGTGTGAGTCAAATGCAGTGATAAATCTCAGGGCAGTGTTCATGGGCTCATTTGAACTAGTGGTGTTTAGACCTCTGGCTGCTTAACAAGAAGGTGTCTGCAGAGGACAAAAAAATTCTTTTGTCTTAATATCTTCATCTCTCATCTGCAAGTATTTGGAGGCAGAACAGAAAATGGGTGGTAGCAGTGGAGAGCTTGAATACCACTGGGGGATACTGAGATGAGTTCTGAGTGTAAGTGGGGAGGCTGAATGAGTGGAGTGAGAATGAAAGCTTACTGTTTGAGGAAGGGTGTTGTATTTTGCATTCTTCTGCTCTGTGAAGATTAATGAAGAGATCTGGTATGCATACAAGTAACAAATCTAGTTTTAATCATGATGCTAAATGAAAAGACCACAATTTGGAGTGCAGGCACAGTGTTTCTTGAGGTAGAGGATGTTTCCGTAAGTCAAGTCTCTTCAGTACTACAATTTGTCTTGCTTGTTATTTTTAAAGCCTGATGGAAAAAATAGCTCAGTCTGATTATTATACAGTCCAGTTATCACAATCAAATAAGCATCATTCCAAAAATTCATATTCAGGGTTCAAAAATTACTTTTGAAGTCAGCACGAGCCCTTCTACATCTTACTGGGGGAATCTGTATATCGTGTGTGTCAAAAAAATAAATTGTGTTGACTTGTGTGTGTCTGGGTGTAAGTATTGGGCTTTTAAAGCATCTAAGGTGACATAATGACAGGCATTCAAAGTGTTGTCCATAAAAATACCAAAATGAAACCAACAAGGCACTCTGGCAGTAAGCCTTCTTTATCCATGTCGGGGAGACACTGACTTCTCTTCATCCACGCAGGCTTCCTTGTTCTCTGATGCTCCTCCCAGTAGTTGCCAGGCAACTCTGGGAATATTGGTGTATGCTTTGCCTGGATGTGTGCGTGAGATTAACTAGTTAAGGGATTTTTGAAGAAAAATAAAAATTTAAATTGCTTTTCTGGAAATACCATCTGGTATTTTGAAGGCTGAATGTTAAAGATGAACATTCAAAATCAGTTGACAATGGCACACCCCTAGAAACTGCAAATTCGAGTGACAGCTAACCTGAGAAAGTAGGAGAAATTGTTCAGTTTGCTTATGATTCCATCAAATAAAGCTTGTAAACATAATTGCACAAATATGTCACAAAATCCAATTTTAATAATCAGGAAGTGGGAATTTTCAGGGCTTTCTTTTGCAAGTCCTTTTGTAAATTAAAAATTAAATTTCTGATTATATGTTTCAGTATTAAGATAGATAGATTAAAAAAATAGAAAATTTGCAAGTGTTTCATGTGCTGAACATGTCGGAGTCAAATGACCTGCATTCTGTTTCCGCTGCTGCCACAGACATCCTGTGAGGCATTGGACAGGTCACACAACTGCTTTATACCTCACTTCTGTTTTGGAATATGCCAACAGTGAATGCGATTACTGAGACACTCTTATTACTGTTAAGAACATTGCGCTTAAAAATTAGTTTAAAAATCTTGGAAAACCTAATCTTAAAAAGATGCAGCAAAACTCCAAACAATAGTGTGTGATGAGTAAAACAATTAGGAAATGCTCTTGCTAAGTTCACAAAAGAAAATGGGATTGTGATTTATTAACAAGGTATCGTAACTGGCAATTAGTAAGGCATCCTGCAATTTAAAGCCCTGTGTTTTTCTGTTGTGGTGTACTTCGAACGCTGCGCTTGAAATAGTTTTCTCTGCTCTCACATAATTCCATCAATTCCACAGCAATTATGTTCATTGTTATTTCCTGTCAGCTGATTAGCTCAGTTTGCCGAGTTTGTGGATTATACACTAGCAGGTGTTCAAAGTGGTCGTGATACGCATCTTCTCATATAAATACGGAGTGACAGGAGTTTCTTGTTGAATAGTGGAAGAATATTAAAGTGTACACAGCAACTCTTTGATTCCTCTCTATTGATGTATTAGAATCCACAAAGGCCACAGTGGATATCATAATTTCCTTTAAAATTTTAATGTCTGTTTGTAAAAAAATTTATTTTGAAACTGTTACTGTTGTAACAGTTACAAATAAAATCATTTTGGTACATCTGAGACAAATAGAAAAGCAAATGGAAGAAATAGCTTCTAGGAAAATAACATATTTTCAAATACTTCCATTGTAGGTTTTTTTTTCCTCTTATCACCTTCACATGTTGTAAATATGGGGCATAAGCCATACTGAACATGATGTAATGCTTTGCATCTTACATCCCGTAACTCAAGAAATGTGACTGTTCATTTGAAATTATTGATAATTAGGAAATAAATTCCAAGAAGCTGTAGCTTTGCCTCCTTTCGTAGCTTTTGTCTCATAGGACAATTTAATTTCATAGACCATCTCATCTGGTATGAGTTGACTTTTTGGGATAAATGGTGTGAAGCCATTTTTCATTATTCTCTGTAGACCCAGAATGTATCACAGAACAGACTTTAAATTCACATTTTACTTAAGCATAGTAGGAGCTCTTATTCTGTTCAGAAGCATTTACTCTAAAGATACAAGGTTATGTGGTGTATGTACAAACCAGTACACCAACAATGAAAAAGTCTCTGTTGCCATAAACTTTCTAAGGACTTCAGTAACTAGAATTTTTGCATGAAAAAGCATATCCAGATAATACAGTCTGCAAGTCTAATCGTAAGATTTACATAACAAAATAACTGATTCGTTTCTGTTTCCTACTGTATATATGTTTTCTGTAGCTGCAATAAGCCAGACTTTAAATGTGGAAATTTGTTACATGTGGAGACTTAGAGTCTCCGCAAACCTCTGTTGCTATTAAGTACAGTAAAACACATTAGAAGCAGTGTGTTTACTTGGCTGTATTGAGGCAGATTATTATCTTTATGAATCTTACTGAAATTTTTAACAATGACACCGATGTGAGCATTTTGTTCACTTGAATGACTTTTTTCTAAATTCCTGATTTTTTGCTGTTTGCAGAGGGAATGTTTTTATCATCTTCTAAATATTTAATTCACAAAATTAGGTCACCTTCGACAGAAGTAGCTGTATAATTACTACATGTGTGCAAAGAAGGTTTGTAGTACTTAATAGTTGTGTATATTGGTAACGGAGGGAAATGAGACATTTTCTGCATCAAAGCTGTTGCCCGTGCACTTTCTTCTGCTGACACCTAGTGGTCAGAGACAGCATTTAATTGGTTTTCTTTCCCAGACAATCTTTGTTAAGGAACAAACATCCTCCCACCTGTGCATAACGGTAAGCTCACGGTGCGGGGCGAGGAGAGCAGTGGCGTGCGGGGATGAGCCCCCAGGACGTACTGGGTTGCGGGTGGGCTGCCGGGACCGCCAGCCTGGGCGTCTGCTGCTCTCGCCCTGCCTGGGGTAGGGGGTTTAGCAGCAGGCTCCAAGTTGGACGTACGGTGTTCTCAAAGGACAAGCTTTCTGTCTGCTCGCTGGTCACCCCACTGAGCTTTGCAAAGGGAACTGTGTATGTTAAATGCAACATTTTCTAGCTTGACAGATTTGAAAAGCTTCTTTACTCGCACTTTGCTTTAAAATCTGTATGTTCTGATCACATATTTCTATTGCCACGTCTTGGTTCCTTTTGTCTCTATTTCATTGCTATAAATACACTGTAAGGTGAAAATTTCTCTGCTTACTTTTCTTTTGCAGTGCTGCAACATTTTGTATGGATAATTAAGGTGGGCTAGTTTTAACATTCATAACCTGAATAGATATCAGTATCTAAGTGCTCCTGCGGGTAGTTTTCTCTCTAACTTTGCTGTTTTGCATTGATAACTTCTTATATGCAGACACTGTAAAATCTGGTGTCTCTTTCACAGTACAGCATACGCGGTATGCTGAGGTGAGAGGTGCATGTGATGCAGCGTGAGCTAAAGTAGCCTGTTTTATTTCTGATATTCCACGGCGGAGATGTGTCTGTGCACAAGATTCTGGTGTTTGTTTGGATTTGCATCAGGATCTCCTGGTTTGTTTTTAAAAGGCTGATTCAGTTATTATGGACTTATTAATCTAGTTATTAGGGTAATGATCACCATGTTCTTTGTAAAATGTTTTTGTGTGTGTGTATTGTCACATTACCTAAATCTAGTCCTTCCTCTCATTTATAAAATCCATGTAAACCTGATTATGGTGGATTGTGACTATGCTAGATATTTGTAATTTCCGTATTTTGTGCTGGTTTTATACAGTTGCAACACCTGTGGGTATTTCCAGTACGTGCCAGTCTGTGGCGATGTCTCTGAGGAGGTGAAACAATTGATACAGTTGCATTACTTGTGGCAAAAACTGTATTCCTTATTATTTGGCTCATCCCATCTTCCTGAGGCCTGCCCAGCAAAATCGTCCATTGCTTTGCTCTCCTTGAGAGGCCCTTCTTTCCTCTGGGAATGAGTTGGAGTGAAGCAGTAACAGTGCTGTGATCTTTGTCCAGGGCTTAGGGGTGTCACTGGTTCCCTGTTAAGTGCCAAAGTTTACGCTGTTTCTAAACAAAGTAAGCCCGAAACTATTGGGGGGGAAGAGGATGAATGGAGCTGTGATGGCATTAAAAGTGTAATTAAATTGTTTGTGAAGACATGAGGAAATCAATGTCAAAATGAAAAAAATACAGGAAAATATGACTTTATTTTTTAGTGTTTTATTATTGATTAATACTTTTATTAAGGGATTTTTTAAATTTATTTTTTAAATTTAAAACTTCGGCCCTGGAAGGGAATGGCCAGTAATTTTCACTATTTGCAGATGCCTTGAAAATAGTGTTGCTTTGTTTCGTGATGTTTCTCACGAGAATGAAACTGTCTGCCTCCATCTCAAACTGAAGAAGTACATTGTTGTAGTTGAAAACATCCCCTGTTTTTCAATTACATAAAACATATGGAATAGTAGTTGGGAGCTTACTGAAGCTTTAAGATGCTACTAATGAAATGTAACCTTTTTAAGTAACTACTGGTACCGCAGTGGTTCTAATAGTGGATGGTACTTTAAGTGGACTATTGTATTATGTACTAATACGATACTGTAAAAATTTCTACATAACCTACATCTTTCAGGTGGAACTAGGATCATAAATAGCTATTGGTACTAACTTGAATGTGTTGGGAGTTACTGATAATAAATGAATCTCTTCAATGGAGCATCAGTTAATTTCTTTTACGTCTTCATGGTTATTCAATCTTATTCAGGTTTACTAGCCTGAGCGGCCATTAGTTGTATAACTGGATAATTTCTGATTAACTTTAATTGTTCTGAATTGATTTGGTTTAAATTTAACCTAAATATTCTTTAGAGGCATCAATTTAAAAGTAAACAGAAAATCTCGGAGGAGTCAATGTACTTTTCTACTTCCACACTTTTTATGTGTTTTCATTGGTGAAGGTACTGCCTAACAACAAGTTAGTGGACAACAATGTGTTTAAGACATTACAAAACGTTTTCTAATCTTAATATGAAACTACTATTGAAACTCGTATATGTATTATATATTCCAGTTTTCAAACTGCTTTAGCTGAACTACACCAGATGTATGTATATATGCTTTTATGTACACGTTGCTGCCTTAGTTCTGTTGTCCTGTCAAAGTCTGCTGATTTATATTTGGATTCTAAATAAAGAAGACAACATACTACTGTTTTTCATAATTGTAACTTTGATACAGGTTTTCTCTTAATATGATGCAATTTGAGCTACAGCAGGGGAAAAAGCCATTATGAATAGGAGGAAATAAAAAGTTAACTTTTCAACATAACATTCAATTCAACTTAAGGAAGTAACGTAATAAGCCTTTTCGGTTTGTGGTTTTATCATAGTTCCAGAACTGTATAGGGACATCGGGGGGAAGTGTAGGACATCATTCATAAGGGTTGTATAATTAAAAAAAAGTGTTGCCCTTATATTTTCAAGTTCTTTTTTTTTTTCCTGAAAAAAGTGAAAAACTTTACTGCCTTTGTGAAGTAGTGTAGACATTTCTGGAGAATCCTTTTATCCCCTTGTTCTCTTTTGACAGTATCTATTATCCATGCTAATAATGATAGCACTTATTTGATTGTCCATGCTGCAGCTGTATCCATACCTCTGGAGATGCTGGTGCTGACCACTGCTCTCTCCTTTGGGATGAGCTGGCCACCGTGTCCTTCAGCATCTGCAGGGACGCAGCCCACCTGATCGCGCTTACATCAAGTACCAACTGCAGCACTCGGTCTGTAAGTCATTTTTAAAGGGCATGCACCTGCATTCTGAACAAGACACAGCTTGTCAAGCATCCATTAAAAATTAATGTTGTAATTTCCTGCATTTTGTTGTAACCTCTTACTAGAGAATCTGCCTTAATAGCTGTTACTATTCTTGGTATCGATACGCTGGTGTAGCCACTGAATTGCTATCTTACTTGTACAAAAGTAAATATTTTTCACAAATCCACTTGCACAGTGGCAATTTCCTCCTATCCCAGGATATTATGTTTAACATCTCATCAGTCTTGGTGGAGTTGTTCCTCCTATGAGCTCTAAACGGGTTCTTACTATCCAGGGTACTGTAGCTAACTAATGAACTAAAGTATTCATGTTGCTCTGGCATTGTCTGTTTGCTGGCCAAGTACTGTGTGCACTTGATAAGAAAGCTGTTGCTCTTTACCTTTGTTTAATTCATGGCCAAGGAAGGTAAAGGTAAGATTAGTCCCACAGATATTTAGGTCTCCTACAGCAGTGGGAGTTTCAAAATGTTTTAAGAGAACAGTTTCCTTATCCATTTTAGGTTTTTACACCACTAAGGATTTTTGCTTTACGGATTCATAAGTAATACCATGATACCGGTAACACAAATTGATATGTTTCTCTTGAAGACATTAAGGTGGTGGTGTGATGGCATGACGTGAGGCCACTGTATTAATTATTTTATATCAATCCCTTGCCCAGACTAACACTATGAATTCCTTTAACAATTCCAGATCCATGAGATCTGAGTGGGACAGAAGTTAGAAAAGAAAAGTAGCTGATGTGTGGTGCAGAGTAAAAAAGCAAATGCCAGATGAGTCCAAAAGGAAATTTTGTTGGGGTATGCGTGCAGTAACATAAAGAAAGTGCACGTTACATACTGGTGCATAATTCATTTTGAAGAGGCTTTGTAGCATTCAGTGCTTTATCTACTATGAAGTATGATTGTTGCCATGGTGAATTATTTTTTTAAGTTATTCAGTGGAAGAGTAAATGGTTGTTTCGAACTCACAGTAATTGCCTCATCCCAGTTACATCCTCTCCATAGCCATCTTTTGCATAGTTTTTTTTTTCCGCAGATGTATTTTAAAGTTATGCATTGTATACAGAGTAGATCCTTCCCTTTCACCAGAGTTGTCTTGACAGGTCAAAGTTTTAGGAGTATTTGTCCATGTATAGAAAAAACAAAGGAAGATCACTAATGCTTATATTACATGTGTACAACTTGTTAAAAAAAGCCCAAAATTGTAGGTAAAATAGTGAGCAGAAGCACATAAGAAGTGTTTTACTTGCAGGTTTGTTGTGCTCCTTTTGCAGTTAGTGCTGATGTAGATTTAATACGAATTTTCTCCCACCGAGTTTTACTTTTTTCCTGTTCAATTGCTGTTAGCTCTCAAGTATAAGCCTGTATAGACAGTCTAGTAGTGCCTAAATGATAGTAATTTCTGAATCTCATCCTGATGATTTTACTAACAGATGGGAGTAGACAATGACAGTGGCATTGACAGTGGCAGTGTGCAAAACCTGATGTTTGTACGATAAAAATGGAGATAAATTGAATTTCTGTATATTCTGGAACTGAAAATTAAGGCTGTTTCGTAGTATGAAGACTCTGCGTTTTGTGGCATTTTGAAGACCCTAGTTTTCAACAGTCTCACTTAGAAGCTACCTGTAACTATTGTTATGCTTTACTATTTACAGAAAGTGTTCTAGAAGACCAGAATTCAAAATGACTGACTGAAAAAGATCTGCTGGGGAAAGACAGTTTTGTTTGTTTGTTTTCTGCGTGGTTTTTGTTTTCATTTCAATCCTGTTGGCTGTGTTTTGTCTCTGAGCATTACTGTTGCTATAGACAAGTTTCAGCTTTTGCTTTTGCTGGTTTAAACCTTAAAAATGGTTCTTTTTCTAACAAGCATTTACTGTTCTTCAAAATGCATTTAATATTCTACTTCTAAGTCTGTTGAGATACACATATGTTAATGAAACTGAAAAGACATTCTCTTTAATCTCTTATAGCAGTCTGTTATGTAGTAAATAGAATTGTTTTGTAATTTCCAAACTGTTATAAGACACTGTGTTGTATAATTCTGTATGCCAAGCTAGGGGGAGAAAACTAAGATTCTGAAGGAAAGGTAATAAAAAATAGTAATTGAG